ATAGATATTGCTAAAGGATAGATATGCGTAAAACTCAGTCAGTCAGTCAGTCATGAACTGACTGACCAAAACAGTCATTTCACGAATTGACTGAAAGTTTCAGTCATTTCACGAAATGACTGATAACACAGTCTGACTGTAACATATACCCATTATTAACTGTCGCATCGTATCTGCCTGGCATAAGCTCGTGCTACTACAAGCTTGCACACACGCGCACACACATAATCGTTACAACAAAATCATAACAAAACATGATTGACCACTGATCCAGTGACAGTAAGAACTTATTTACTACTTCTACTACTGACCCGTGAACTTCCGGGTTAGAATTGGTCTTCAGTAACCCATGCTTGTCGTAAGAGGCAACTAACGGGATCGGGTGGTTAGGCTCGCTGATTTGGTTGACACATGTCATCGTATCCCATTTGCGTAGATCGATGCTCATGCTGTTGACCACTAGATTGTCTGGTCATTTCTGGTGTCCCCCGCCGTGATGTTGCTGGAATATTGCTAAAAGCGGCGTAAAACCAAACTCAGTCAGTCAGTCAGTCTGGTCCAGACACGCCATATGGCAGAAATCTTGCAAAGTGCGAACTGCGGCTTTAAACAACTAACCGACCAACCAACTACTAGCCCAGAGATTTTCTTCATTTTCAGAAGAAACTGTAATTGTGGTAATCTGGACTTGCCACACATTCTAGATTTGGTACGGGCTGTATTTGTTATATTTGTTTCAGGGTCGTGAAGATCCAGGTTAGAAATGACCTCGTGAAAGAGGCGACTAACGGGATCGGGTGGTCAGGGCTCGCTGACTTACAGGACATCGTATCCCAATTACGCAAATCGATTATCATGACATTAGTCACTGGATTGTCTGATTTGAATATTTACATACCGCCGCCATAGAGCAGGAATATTGCTAGGTGCGGCGTTAAACATCAAACAATCGCTGCTGCTGCTTCTTTTGTCACTACTATTACTTGGGGCGGTGGGGTAGTCGAGTGGTTAAGGCGTTGGCTCGTCACGCCGAAGGCCCGGGTTCGATTCCTCACAGGGCACAATGTGTGAAGCCCAGTTTCTGGTGTCACCGCCGTTATGTTGCTAGAATATTGCTAAAAGCGGCGTAAAACTAACCTCACTCACTCACTCTTCTTTTTTTTGAGCTAGTGGAAGGTCTTTTGACACAAGATGAGAAATTTGAACTATACATGACCAGATTTTCAATTGACCTTTTCCGTTATGAGTGCCAGTCACTGGATTAATTGTTTGATCGACATTCTAGAAGTCTACTACTACTAATACTACCACCACCACCACTACTACTACTACTGGTGGTGGTGGTGGTGGTATTTTCCCCGCGGCAATATAATGCTTGTTTGATCCACTTGTAATCCCCCGTAACGCGGTTTGGGGGGGTATTATTTTGGACTCTGTCTGGACGTCTGTTCCGTCCGTGCACTTCCGTGTTTCCCGGAGCAGAACATAAAAACCGTTCAACATTTCATGAAACGCAAAAAGATATTCAAAAGTACCAAAAGTCACCAGTTCACCACCAAACCTATCTATGTGCCAAGTTTGGTGATGAACTGGTGCCTTTTGGTACTTTTGAATATCTTTTTTGCGTTTCCATGACAATAACTTTGACTTGGACTGAAATTGGTGGTAGTGCTCCTTTCCGGAGCAAAGCTTTAAACCCGGTCAATACTCTCCTTCCATTTTGTGGGTGTTCAAGAACCTAATGACAAATCAACAGTACCACTCTGTTTCTGGTATCAACATTACTGAGGTACATCAAACCGTTGAAGCACACAGGCAGTCTATTGTTGATACAAGCATGCTATAGTACTGTCGGAAATAGAAAAAAACTGTTTTTAGGCTGTTACTCTGTGTCCCTAAAATTTACACAATTGCAAATAGCATATGTCGAAATAACACACTTCGGCCTAACTGGGCGTTCAGTGGGATGCGTAATACGATATCCAGAAAAGCATGTTTACTCGTAAAATCGGGCAAAACTTAGAAAAAATACGAATAGCTGCTGAAAACAATAGATCAGACTATAGATGGCAATTAGGTCGCTCAGCCAGGTATGACGACGGACCGTCGACTCACCTGGCATGAAGTGCACGTGCTGCCTACAGGCACAAGGGGTCATCTCAAAGATATTTTGTGCTTTTTCATGTGTGTTAACTATGTCTCATCTATTGATTAACATCTTACGTGTCTTTCTTTCATATAGTTTCATATAGTTTATGTTGAGATATATAAGAGAGTATGATACCCGTAAACCATAGAAACGCATCGTAGTATATAGGTGGCATGACCACCCGAAGATCGACAGGATTGGATATTATTTGTAAATTGTTATGACGTGCCGTGTACCTCCCCAGTATAATTGCCCTAAAGGATTATCTTATCTTAGCTGATATCTCTATCCCCAAGCCCGACCCCAGGTTTTGCTTATGAGACGGCCCCTCCTATCTGTTTCTTTTTATAGTGACAGTGAGACTGCGTGGTAGCTACATCCTTAATAGTTTCAGCATAAAAGTTATTATTTTTTACGTCAGTTCTCGTTTAAAATGAATCTACGTCTAATTTCAAATTGGGCATTTAAAAAGTGTCCTTTGTAATAAAATATCGTCGCACACTAATTTGCATAAAGCCATGGTCTGTTCCAAATAAGTCTTTTTGGGCTTAGAAAAACCCGCATTGCTCATTTCTGCACTAATTTCCCCTCAGTAAAGTCCTTTTTCTCCGTTTCCTATCTCTCTACCACCGAGACTGTAGTTAGGCCGAACTAAGTTTAACAGATATTTCACACTTTCACATATCAACTACATAAATTGTAGAGATAAATGAGAAAATACAGTTTTTTTCTATTTCCGACAGTACTATAGTATATGAATAGTTTACATATATATATGTTTTCGTTAGATGAATGTGAACAATGTAACATTTGACATGTAGTCATAACTAGTTGACATATTCATGACGAGTATTTTACCATTGAGGGGATATTGAGGACTTCTTGTTATGACATTAAATGTGGTTTTCGAATCGGGCCATGGTTGAACACGGCTACCTATATTTAGAAATTTTACAGAGAGACTTAATTTATAACGATTCTTTTGTTTTTCATCGAATAAAACGGTTTGAAATTGATTTGCTGTCAACAGCTGTATCAAATGTGTACTTCAAATTGACAAAAGATAAGTCAATATAGTACACAACATGTTTCTCGTGCTTCAGTAAACGTGATGTTGTCCTCCCCTTGCAACATGTAGACGAAACAACGAGACTTTCATGGGACGAGAGTCTTGTGTACAGTATGAAAGTGGGGTGGGGGTGTTTAGCCTAGTGGTTGAAGCGTTCGCTGGTCAAGCAGAAGGCTCGGTTTCGATTCCCCATATAGGTACAGTGGGTGGAGCCCTTGTCTGGTGTCCCCCGTCGTGATATTGCTGGCTAAATGCGGCGTAAAACTAAACTCACACACGCACGAAATCATCACTGCGCTATTCAGGGTGGCGGTGAGGATGACAGGGGAGGGTCATATATATATGGGGTGGGTAGTGAATATATAGAAATTTTACAATAAAATATAAGGTGCTATTGCATTTTGCCCTTCAACAAGGGGAGGGGTCACTATTGTCGGTACAGCTGTCCGTCAGAAACCATGGATTATATACTCTCCAGGGAGTTGAAAATGAATACCAAGTAAACATAATAAGTATTGATTGAGTTATTTGTACGCCGCACTTGTCAATATTCCAGCTATATGGCGGCGGTCTGTAAATAATCTCGTCTGGACCAGACAATCCAGTGATCAACAGCATGAACATCGATCTACGCAACTGGGACACGATGACGTGTCAACCAAGTCAGTGAGCCAGACCACCCGATCCCGTTAGTCGCCTCTTATAACACGCATGGGTTGCTGAAGATCAATTCTAACCCGGACCTTCATGGGGTTAGTGAGACGGGAAATTCAGATCTGGACTTGTTTCATTTGGGGCTTTAGCATTGTAGAAAGGACTGGGAGGAAGGGGAGATAATGTGGTTCACGGACTGGGAGACAAACTATCTGAGAAAGGCTGTCAGATTTCATTTCGTATCTTTCACGTTAATATCAGGATAACCAAATGTCTAATTGTACACGTTACCTCAAAAATGAATTTTACAACACTAAGCCAACTATCATACGAGATGTTTTCAGGTAAAAGTAAATATTTATGTGAGGTGAGGTGAAATTGGGTTTAACGTCGCGCTGGAGAATATTTCGCTCATATGACGACGTGCATGCGTGTGTATGTGTATGTGCGGCTGCTGGTACTAGCCCAGACTGAAGCTGGTTTTATAGTGCTAGCCCACTGAGATACCATGCCGCAGTGAAGCAAGAATACCCCACTCAGACACATTATACTGACTCCAAGCCGACCAGTCCTTGTTGTACCCATTAATGCCGAGCGCCAGGCAGGGACCAACAAGTACCATATTTTAACGTCTTTTGGTATGACGCGGTCGGGGATGGAACCCGCGACCTTCCGCTCTCCGGGCGGACACTCTAACCACTACACCACGGAGGCGGTCAAAATACTTATGTAAATACTTATGTTGGGAGTAGAAGATAGAGTGTATCATCACTACAGGTAAAGCTATGGCTGATGGCAGATTAGGGTTAACTGATGTCTGCCATGACAATGGAGTACGAAATCACATTGGAGATGATCACGCTTGACGTCAGTATCGTGAATAATGGAGGCGACCTTTCACCTTTTGGCCACCCTTCACTGCATTTTGTTGAATGCAGTGGAATTGTTTTCAGAACTAATTTCTCTTGCTTGACAAGATATACACTTGGAGTATGTGAATAGTGTTGTTTTGTATTGTTCAGAACAACTCCAAATGACGTCAGTGGTGTGAAGCGTTTTCCTAGAACAGTTGTTCACGTTCCTGATGGCGGATGTAAAAAACTACTACACAGGACAGCAAGCTTTTTGCACGTTTGTATAGGCCATGTTTTGTCACCGCTTTATTTTCTCAAATCTTTATACTTAGAAGCTGCAAAATGCTCTTGCGATCGTTGTTTTGGGGTTGCTTTGTATAACCAAACATCGTCACTTCTCCTCCTTTATCTGACATCGAAGTTGACGAACTGGTCATCATTTCCCAATTAAAGGATCCTTTGCTCAAACAAGCTGACTATGGGAGTTCGTTGAGATGGCAGGACGACCCGTCCACAATCGTCCGGTCAATCCGTCCTTTAGCGTCCTTAAAGTTTGTGTCTTCGACAGCATGGACAGTCGGTCAAGCTTGATATTTTGTTAACTAAACAAATGAATTTTAGATTTAAGCCGCCTGTTATTTGCCCTTTTTTTCAAGCAGAATGATGTTACAGACACAGCACTCAAGCAAGTACATTTACATTCTTGATGGTGAATGGCAGATCAAGCATGTACATTTACATTCTTGATGGTGAATGGCAGATCAAGCAAGTACATTTACATTCTTGATGGTGAATGACAGATCAAGCAAGTACATTTACATACTTGATGATGAATGGCAGATCAAGCAGGTACATTTACATACTTGATGATGAATGGCAGATCAAGCAAGTACATTTACATACTTGATGAATGACAGATCAAGCAAGTACATTTACATTCTTGACGGTGAGTGGCATATCAAGCATGAATGAATGAATGAATGAATGTTCTTTATTTCAACCAATGGTTTGGAGATTTATACATCCAGTAATGTATATATTTTTAGAGCATAACACATATTGGTGAAAAAATAGAAAGTTCAATAATATTTGAAACATTCAACAGAACATAAGAAATCATAGCTCTTGGCAACAGATGATCACTGGGCAATATGTACAAAGCATTGCATGCTATTCTTATAAATTTATTCATTCATTCATTCATACTTGATGAATGACAGATCAAGCAAGTACATTTACATTCTTGACGATGAGTGGCATATCAAGCATGTACATTTACATTCTTGATGGTGAATGGCAGATCAAGTAAGTACATTTACATATTTGATGATGAATGACAGACAGATCAAGCAAGTACATTTACATACTTGATGAATGGCAGATCAAGCAAGTACATTTACATTCTTGATGATGAAGCAAGTATATTTACATTCTTGATGATGTATGACAGATCAAGCAAGTATATTTACATTCTTGATGATGAATGACAGATCAAGCAAGTATATTTACATTCTTGATGATGAATGACAGATCAAGCAAATACATTTACATACTTCTTGATGATGAATGACAGATCAAGCAAGTATATTTACATTCTTGATGATGAATGACAGATCAAGCAAGTACATTTACATTCTTGATGATGAATGACAGATCAAGCAAGTACATTTACATTCTTGATGATGAATGACAGATCAAGCAAGTACAGTTACATTCTTCATCATGAATGGCAGATCAAGGACAGGCTATCAGAATATTAATGATGAATGGCAGATCAAGGACAGGCTATCAGAATATTAATGATGATTAACTGATTAATCAAAGAAAAACACAATCTTGTTGGTGCATAATGATCAAATACATACATCTACAATCTTGATACTGGATCTTAATACTGGTTGATCAGTCAAATACATTTACAGTCATGTTCATGAATGTTTATCCAATAACGGGCATTTTCAGAATTGATGATAAATGTCTGCTTCACCAAATACATTAGTCTGTCTCACAGTCCTGAACCATATTATTTTCCCTACAGCCTAGCGGTATCTGCAATGCTAAAGCCCTAAATGAAGCAAGTCTAGATTTCCCCAGGCTCTGAATCTCTGGTCTCCCTGGGGCTCCTTATCCATTTAAATAAGTTTATTTCTTACAATTATAATTATATATATCAAATATATATACAGTCTTGTTGATGAATGGTAGATCAATCAAATACCTTTACAGACTTATTGATAAATGGAAGATCAATCAAATACATTCACAGTCTTGTTGATGAATGGTAGATCAATCAAATACATTCACAGTCTTGTTGATGAATGGTAGATCAATCAAATACATTCACAGTCTTGTTGATGAATGGTAGATCAATCAAATACATTCACAGTCTTGTTGATGAATGGTAGATCAATCAAATACATTTACAGTCTTGTTGATGAATGGTAGATCAATCAAATACATTCACAGTCTTGTTGATGAATGGTAGATCAATCAAATACATTCACAGTCTTGTTGATGAATGGTAGATCAATCAAATACATTCACAGTCTTGTTGATGAATGGCTGATCAACAAACCGAATGGTGCATGTGTGTGGACAGGGTGCTGACTCCAGCTCAAAGGCTAGAACCGTGTTGGAAGCAGGGTGGGGCTTGAGGAATGACAGGGGGACATACAGAGTCACCTGGGGCCCCAGGGATGGCCAGTAGCCACCCACATTGTTGCCATTGATGAACAGCTGTCCCTGAAAGAAAGACGTATTTCTTAAACACCATACATCTATATCAAAGTGTTCAGTGTATGGGGTGCAAAGAGTCTATCTTGTGCCAGGGTCTCATATGAACATAGGTGTCGAGTGTGCCTACCTTGTGCCTGGGTCTCATATGAACATAGGTGTCGAGTGTGCCTACCTTGTGCCAGGGTCTCATATGAACATAGGTGTCGAGTGTGCCTACCTTGTGCCAGGGTCTCATATCAATATAGGTGTCGAGTGTGCCTACCTTGTGCCAGGGTCTCATATCAATATAGGTGTCGAGTGTGCCTACCTTGTGCCTGGGTCTCATATGAACATAGGTGTCGAGTGTGCCTACCTTGTGCCAGGGTCTCATATCAATCAATACAGGTGTCGAGTGTGCCTACCTTGTGCCAGGGGTCTCATATCAATATAGGTGTCGAGTGTGCCTACCTTGTGCCAGGGTCTCATATCAATATATCAGTGTGCTACCTTGTGCCAGGGTCTCATATCAACAGGTGTCGAGTGTGCCTACCTTGTGCCAGGGTCTCATATCAATATAGGTGTCGAGTGTGCCTACCTTGTGCCAGGGTCTCATATCAATATAGGTGTCGAGTGTGCCTACCTTGTGCCAGGGTCTCATATCAATATAGGTGTCGAGTGTGCCTACCTTGTGCCAGGGTCTCATATCAATATAGGTGTCGAAAGTGTGCCTACCTTGTGCCAGGGTCTCTTGTGCCATCAATATAGGTGTCGAGTGTGCCTACCTTGTGCCAGGGTCTCATATCAATATAGGTGTCGAGTGTGCCTACCTTGTGCCAGGGTCTCATATCAATATAGGTGTCGAGTGTGCCTACCTTGTGCCAGGGTCTCATATCAATATAGGTGTCGAGTGTGCCTACCTTGTGCCAGGGTGTCATATCAATATAGGTGTCGAGTGTGCCTACCACCTTGTGCCAGGGTCTACCATATCAATATAGGTGTCGAGTGTGCCTACCTTGTGCCAGGGTCTCATATCAATATAGGTGTCAGTGTGCCTACCATGGCCAGGGTGTCATATCAATATAGGTCTCATATCAATAGGGTGTCATATCAAGTGTGCCTACCTTGTGCCAGGGTCTCATATCAATATGCCAGGGTCTCATATCAATATAGGTGTCGAGTGTGTGCCTGTGCCAGGGTCTCATATCAATATTGTGCCAGGGTCTCATATCAATATAGGTGTCGAGTGTGCCTACCTTGTGCCAGGGTCTCATATCAATATAGGTGTCGAGTGTGCCTACCTTGTGCCAGGGTCTCATATCAATATAGGTGTCGAGTGGCTGAGACAGTGAGCTTGGGAGCACAAATGCACCTATGTACAAGGATGGTGTTAGAAGCGTCTCGCTGGTGTCGCTGTCGGCCTTCAGCCTGTCATGAAAGCCATTAAAAAATTATTTGATTTGTCTCTGCAAATCCCACTGCAGTTATTAATATTGTACAATGACATCTGTCATTGATGAGCTACAGAGATGGATGTTGAGCTACACAGATGGGTGTTGAGCTAGAGAGATAGACGTTGAGCTACAGAGATTGGTGTTGAGCTACACAAATGGATGCTGAGCTACAGAGATTGGTGTTGAGCTACACAGATGGGTGTTGACCTACACAGATTTGGTTGAGCTACACAGAAGGGTGTGAGCTACAGAGATTGGTGTTGAGCTATGGAGATGGACACTGAGCTATGGAAATGGATGTTCAACTACAGAGATTGGTGTTGAGCTGCACAGGTGGGTGTTGAGCTACACAGATGGGTGTTGAGCTACACAGATGGGTATCGAGCTACACAGATGGGTGTTGAGCTACACAGATGGGTGTTGAGCTACACAGATGGGTATTGAGCTACACAGATAGGTGTTGAGCTACACAGATTGGTGTTGAGCTACACAGATGGGTATTGAGCTACACAGATGGGTGTTGAGTTACACAGATGGGTATTGAGCTACACAGATTGGTGTTGAGCTACACAGATGGGTGTTGAGTTACACAGATGGGTGTTGAGCTACACAGATGGGTATTGAGCTACACAGATGGGTGTTGAGTTACACAGATGGGTATTGAGCTACACAGATGGGTGTTGAGCTACACAGATGGGTGTTGAGCTACACAGATGGGTGTTGAGCTACAGAGATTGGTGTTGAGCTATACAGATGGGTGTTGAGCTACACAGATGGGTGTTGAGTTACACAGATGGGTGTTGAGCTACAGAGATGGGTGTTGAGCTATACAGATGGGTGTTGAGTTACAGAGATTGATGTTCAGCTATGGAGATGGACGCTGAGCTATGGAGATGGATGTTGAACTACAAAGATGGGTGTTGAGCTACAGAGATCGGTGTTGAGCTACACAGATGGATGTTGAGCTACACAGATGGGTGTTGAGCTACACAGATGGATGCTGAGCTACACAGATGGGTGTTGAGCAACACAGATGGATGCTGAGCTACAGAGATTGGTGTTGAGCTACAAAGATGGGTGTTGAGCTACACAAATGGGTGTTGAGCTACAGAGATAGATGTTCAGCTATGGAGATTGATGTTGACTTATGGAGATGGACGATGGGCTGGGATCTAGATGTTGAGCTAGTGAGGTGAACAGGGATCTAGATGTTGAGCTAGTGAGGGTGGCTGGGATCTAGATGTGGAGCTACTGACCTGGATATTGAGGTACTCAGGTGGGCAGATCTAGATGTTGAGCTACTGAGGTGGGCAGGGATCCAGATGTTAAGTACTGAGGTGGGCAGATCTAGATGTTGAGCTACTGAGGTGGGCAGGGATCCAGATGTTAAGCTACTGAGGTGGGCAGGGATCTAGATGTTGAGCTACTGAGGTGGGCAGTGATCTAGATGTTGAGCTACTGAGGTGGGGAGTGATCTAGATGTTAAGCTACTGAGGTAGGCAGGGATCTAGATGTTGAGCTACTGAGGTGGGCAGGGATCTAGATGTTGAGCTACTGAGGTAGGCAGGGATCTAGATGTTGAGCTACTGAGGTGGGCAGGGATCTAGATGTTGAGCTACTGAGGTAGGCAGGGATCTAGATGTTGAGCTACTGAGCTACTGGGGTAGGCAGGGATCTAGATGTTGAGCTACTGAGGTGGGCAGGGATCTAGATGTTGAGCTACTGAGGTAGGCAGGGATCTAGATGTTGAGCTACTGAGGTAGGCAGGGATCTAAATGTTGAGCTACTGAGGTAGGCAGGGATCTAGTTTTTGAACTACTGAGGTAGGCAGGGATCTAGATGTTGAACTACTGAGGTAGGCAGGGATCTAGATGTTGAGCTACTGAGGTAGGCAGGGATCTAGATGTTGAGCTACTGAGGTAGGCAGGGATGTAGATGTTGAGCTACTGAGGTAGGCAGGGATCTAGATGTTGAGCTACTGAGGTAGGCAGGGATCTAAATGTTGAGCTACTGAGGTAGGCAGGGATCTAGATGTTGAGCTACTGAGGTGGGGAGTGATCTAGATGTTGAGCTACTGAGGTAGGCAGGGATCTAGATGTTGAGCTACTGAGGTGGGGAGTGATCTAGATGTTGAGCTACTGAGGTAGGCAGGGATCTAGATGTTGAGGTACTGAGGTAGGCAGGGATCTAGATGTTGAGCTACTGAGGTGGACAGGGATCTAGATGTTGAGCTACTGAGGTGGACAGGGATCTAGATGTTGAGCTAGTGAGGTAGGCAGGGATCTAGATGTTGAGCTAGTGAGGTAGGCAGGGATCTAGATGTTGAGCTCCTGAGGTGGGCAGGGATCTAGATGTTCAGGTACTGAGGTGGGCAGTGATCTAGATGTTGAGCTACTGAGGTGGGCAGGGATCTAGATGTTGAGCTACTGAGGTGGGCAGGGATCTAGATGTTGAGCTACTGAGGTAGGCAGGGATCTAGATGTTGAGCTACTGAGGTGGGCAGGGATCTAGATGTTGAGCTACTGAGGTAGGCAGGGATCTAGATATTGAGCTACTGAGGTGGGCAGTGATCTAGATGTTGAGCTACTGAGGTGGGCAGGGATCTAGATGTTCAGCTACTGAGGTGGGCAGTGATCTAGATGTTCAGCTACTGAGGTGGGCAGTGATCTAGATGTTCAGCTACTAAGGTGGGCAGGGATCTAGATGTTGAGCTACTGACCTTGATACTGAGCTGCCAAGGTGGACTGAAGCATTGGTCAGACTGAGAGGGAACATCGTCCAGTGTTGAAGCACCAAGCCTCCCACAGTGACATTCCCAACTATACCCTGCAATGTGGAAAACAATTCAAACAGTTTTAATTCTCTCAACAGCTCAAACATCTCATCCAAACAGCAAGTCCTGTTCACAGCTATCCACACATCAAAACATCTTCATAGGTAAGTGTTCACAGCCCATTCTGACTTTCATAAGTGAATGTTCACAGCCCATTCTGACTTTCATAAGTGAATGTTCACAGCCCATTCAGTCTTTCATAAATGAATGTTCACAGCCCATTCAGACTTTCATAAGTGAATGTTCACAGCCCATTCTGACTTTCATAATTGAATGTTCACAGCCCATTCAGACTTTCATAAGTGATTGTTCACAGCCCATTCTGACTTTCATAAGTGAATGTTCACAGCCCATTCAGACTTTCATAATTGAATGTTCACAGCCCATTCAGACTTTCATAAGTGAATGTTCACAGCCCATTCAGACTTTCATAAGTTACTGTTCACAGCCCATTCAGACTTTCATAAGTAAATGTTCACAGTCCATTCAGACTTTCATAAGTTACTGTTCACAGCCCATTCAGACTTTCATAAGTAAATGTTCACAGTCCATTCAGACTTTCATAAGTTACTGTTCACAGTCCATTCAGACTTTCGAAAGTAAATGTTCAGAGCCTATTACAAACATTAAAGGAATTTGCACCACAATTCTGTTCTCAACTTAGATTGTTACCAGCAATTCTATCTGCCCCAAACTGAACACTAGGTGAACATGGCCTTCTATACAGGTGTCATTCAATCTTCAGGCAGTGTGTTATATATCAGGGTAAGGGAATATACTGTACACATGAAGGCAGCTGTAACTTTCCCACTTAATACACATCCAAACACTAAGCAATCTGTGACCCATTTAAGGGTATCCTTACTCAGGTAATACAGTGAGTGAGTTTTAGTTTTACGCCACTTTTAGCAATATTACAGCAATATCACGGCGAGGGCACCTGAGATGGGCTTCACACATTGTACCCATGTGGGGAATCAAACCTGGGACTTTGGTGTGACAAGCAAACGCTTTAACCACTAGGCTATCCCACCGCCCCAGCTGAGAAGGGTTTGAGGTGGAATGAGGATAAAGCTATCATTGCTCAGATATTACAAGCTAATCCTTGATGGTTTCTATAGATACAAGCAGAATGCATACCACTGGCCTGAGTGTTGTAAAGGCCCAACATTCACATTTGTTTGAATCACTGTTTGGACAATGATTTTAGAAAAATAAGAATCTAGACTTTTGCAGTCAAATATTGTTATTATATGTTATGATTGACATATATTTCAAATTTGAACAAAATTGGTGAAGAAATATAGATTTTAGAAAATTCGACACTCATTACATAAAATACACAAAGGGTGACACTCCCGATGCAAAAAAAACTAATAAAAAAACAGACAACCTGATTATTTTATGTGCGGTTCAATCAAATCTTACGTTTCTCACAAAAGTTTTGCGTTGAGCTTGTAGGTCATTCTTTTACCTTTCTGCACATCGTATTCAATTTGTCTAACAGCACTTCATATTTGACCAAAGACCCTTGCATTGTCACTACCCTCTGCTTTGAACAAACATCTTGCCTCTCTTCGGTAAACATCGACAGTTTTCGTAAATCTTTCATCAATGAATCGGAAACAGAAAATGGCTCTCATTGGTCAATTTCCACATGTGCGATTACTGCGTGGGAAAAACATAAGGTTTGATTGAACCACACGTTAAAATAAAATATCTTACCTTCTGATTCTTGTTGATGTCATTGCCATAAAATATTCTGCCTTGATTTTCAACAAGGATGTCAAGGTTGTCTCCCTTATGTAGAGTGATGTTCAGATGGGTTATCTCCCCTCTGACAAGGATACCCTGCATCACCTGCAAGGGTGAGTGAGTGAATTTGGCTAAAATATGCTGACAATAGTATTCCAGTTCTTTCGTACCATGTCACCTAGTGGAGGGAAGTCCCAAGTGATGTAGGTATCTAACATCTACCTACTTGTTGACACTCATCAGCTCAGTTCTGTCATGCTATGTCACCTAGTGGGGGGAAGTCCCAAGTGATGTAGGTATCTAACATCTACCTACTTGTTGACTCATCAGCTCAGTTCTGTCATGCTATGTCACCTAGTGGAGGGAGTCCCAAGTGATGTAGGTATCTAACATCTACCTACTTGTTGACACTCATCAGCTCAGTTCTGTCATGCTATGTCACCTAGTGGGGGGAAGTCCCAAGTGATGTAGGTATCAAACATCTACCTACTTGTTGGGACTCATCAACACAGTTCTGTCATGCTATGTCACCTAGTGGGGGAAAGTCCCAAGTGATGTAGGTATCAAACATCTGCCTACTTGTTGGGACTCATCAGCATAGTTATGGTGCTGAACAAATCAGATTAAGAAACATATTATAAACAAATACATATTTCTCTAGATTTTAATTATTTGTTTAAAAAATGTTAAATCCTTAATACTGACCAGAAGATTATCTAATTTATCTAAAGTATTATCAGTATGATCGTAGCAAGACATCAGTCTATTCTAGCCCTCCGGAATGAGTGAGTTTAGTTTTACGCCGCTTTTAGCAATATTCAGCAATATCATGGCAGGGGCAGACCAGCAATGGGCTTCACACATTGTGCCCATGTGGGGAAATGAACCCAGGTCCTCGGCGTGAGGAGCGAACGCTTTAACCACTAGGTTACCCCACCGCCCGACAGCCCACCAGATATGTAATCAACCCTGTATGACATACCATTCTCCATGTTTAATTAATAATTTTTTCAGTTACACCAAACCATAGGTTCTTGGTGGAAGAAAGCCTACAGTGCTGATCATGTTGTCGCTTTAGTGAAATCCCCTCAATTTCAAATCTCTTCCAATGACATCCACTTTGTTAAATGGACTCCATTTAAACCCCAGTCTAAGTAAACTTAGACTCAGTATTATTCGTTACACTGCTATACTGAGTCTAACAAAATCTAGTAGAAGGTCACGTCAGCTAACAACGACTACTTGTTAGGGTTCGGCAGGACTTACAAAACGGTGTTTGGATTTTCTCTTCATTTTTTCTCGCTGACACTGATCTATCAACAAACGAAAATCCGCATAAAACACAGATATTTGACCTGCAGTATATACACTCATGGGTTTCTAATGACATGGTTACTATTTGCTTATATTTTAACAACATGACATCCTTGAATATTGACAAAACACTATTTTCAGCGACTGTTTACTCATTGCATGTATCATTCGGAAGTGATCGCGCGGAAAATAGCATTCGGGATTGTTCGAGTTTTATAGGTAAAGGTTCAAACGGTATGTGGGAATGTTAACTTTCGCGATTTGGTAAGCTGTGTTCTGATTGGTCAGTCCAAAAGGTTAGCTGATGCGACCTTCTACTAGGTTTTGTTAGACTCAGTATAGCAGTGTAACGAATAATACTGAGACAAAGTTTACTTAGACTGTTTATACCCACTCTCTTGAAACCCATACAGGTAAACCCGATTCTGCAAGGTGAAATCATCCCACACGTGCTGACAGACCAAATATAGGATTCTAGACCCTTTAGGAACCATCAACAACCAGCGGAGCTAGACAACTGAAGCCAGTTTGTCTGGCTGTAAAATACAGGTCACCCCCACCACTGTAATACCTTGTTGATGATGATGTAACCTCTGTCGCGAATGCCATCCAACCACAGTTCCTGTCTGACGTAAGACCTCTCGGAGACGTGACGGTATAGGGTAAAGCCATAATACTGCAGGAACAACGTTAACGATATTGATGAAAGGGGAGATATAGTCACATCCTTACTGATGATAACAGTGAGACATAGTCACTATCACATCCTTACTCATAACAGTGAGATATAGTCACTATCACATCCTTACTCATAACAGTGAGATATAGTCACTACCACATCCTTACTCATAACAGTGAGATATAGTCACTATCACATCCTTACTAATAACAGTGAGATATAGTCACTGCCACATCCTTACTAATAACAGTGAGATATAGTCACTATCACATCCTTACTGATGATTACAGTGAGATATAGTCACTACCACATCCTTACTAATAACAGTGAGATATAGTCACTACCACATCCTTACTGATGATTACAGTGAGATATAGTCACTACCACATCCTTACTAATAACAGTGAGATATAGTCACTATCACATCCTTACTGATGATTACATTGAGATATAGTCACTATCACATCCTTACTGATGATTACAGTGAGATATAGTCACTATCCACATCCTTACTAACATAACTGTGAGATATAGTCACTATCACATCCTTACTGATGATTACAGTGAGATATAGTCACTACCACATCCTTACTCATAACAGTGAGATATAGTCACTATCACATCCTTACTGATGATTACAGTGAGATATAGTCACTATCACATCCTTACTGATGATTACATATCACATCCTTACTCATAACAGTGAGATATAGTCACATCCTTAGTGATGATATGGTCACATATACTGTAGATGATAACTGGTGAGGATATAGTCACTATCACATCCTTACTGATGACAACGGTGAGATATAGTCACTATCACATCCTTACTGTTATGAGATATAGTCACTATCACATCCTTACTGATCACCAGTGAGATATAGTCACTATATCTCACATCACTGTGAGGATAATGTGATATGATATCCTCACAGTTATGACAGTGAGGATATGACTCATATCTCATCCTTACTGATGATAAGGATGAGATATAGTCACACTGTTATCATAAGTAATGATATAGTCTATCATCCTACTCATAAGTGACTATACTCATAACTGTGAGATATAGTCACTGTCACATCTTACTGTAACGGTGAGATGTAGATACTGACTACATCCTTACTCATAACTGTGAGATATAGTCACTATCACATCCTTACTCATAACTGTGAGATATAGTCACTATCACATCCTTACTCATAACAGTGAGATATAGTCACATCCTTACTCATAACAGTGAGATATAGTCACTATCACATCCTTACTGATGATAACAGTGAGATATAGTCACTATCACATCCTTACTGATGATAACAGTGAGATATAGTCACTATCACATCCTTACTGATGATAACAGTGAGATATAGTCACTATCACATCCTTACTCATAACAGTGAGATATAGTCACATCCTTACTCATAACTGTGAGATATAGTCACTATCACATCCTTACTGATGATAACAGTGAGATATAGTCACTATCACATCCTTACTGATGATAACAGTGAGATATAGTCACTATCACATCCTTACTCATAACAGTGAGATATAGTCACTATCACATCCTTACTCATAACTGTGAGATATAGTCACTATCACATCCTTACTGATGATAACAGTGAGATATAGTCACTATCACATCCTTACTCATAACAGTGAGATATAGTCACATCCTTACTCATAACTGTGAGATATAGTCACTATCACATCCTTACTGATGATAACAGTGAGATATAGTCACTATCACATCCTTACTCATAACAGTGAGATATAGTCACTATCACATCCTTACTGATGATTACAGTGAGATATAGTCACTATCACATCCTTACTCATAACAGTGAGATATAGTCACTATCACATCCTTACTGATAACAGTGAGATATAGTCACTATCACATCCATCCTTACTGATAACAGTGAGATATAGTCACTATCACATCCTTACTCATAACAGTGAGATATAGTCACTACCACATCCTTACTCATAACAGTGAGATATAGTCACTATCACATCCTTACTGATGATTACAGTGAGATATAGTCACTATCACATCCTTACTCATAACAGTGAGATATAGTCACTACCACATCCTTACTGATAACAGTGAGATATAGTCACTATCACATCCTTACTGATGATTACAGTGAGATATAGTCACTATCACATCCTTACTGATAACAGTGAGATATAGTCACTACCACATCCTTACTGATAACAGTGAGATATAGTCACTATCACATCCTACTGATGATAACAGTGAGATATAGTCACTATCACATCCTTACTGATAATGAGATATATGATTACATGATTACTCATAACAGTTATAGGATATTATCATCCTTACACTGATACATCAGTTAGGATGTGATATAGTCACTATCACATCCTTACTGATAACAGTGAGATATAGTCACTATCACATCCTTACTGATGATAACAGTGAGGATATAGTCACTATCACATCCTTACTGATATAACAGTGAGATATAGTAAGGATATCATAGTCATCCTCACTCATAACTGTGAGATATATCACTATCACATCCTTACTCATAACAGTGAGATATAGTCACTATCACATCCTTACTCATAACAGTGAGATATAGTCACTATCACATCCACATCCTTACTCATAACTGTGAGTCACTATCACATATATATAGTCACATCCTCATAACAGTGAGATACTCATAACAGTGAGATATAGTCACTATCACATCCTTACTGATGATAACAGTGAGATATAGTCACTATCACATCCTTACTGATGATAACAGTGAGATATAGTCACTATCACATCCTTACTCATAACAGTGAGATATAGTCACATCCTTACTCATAACTGTGAGATATAGTCACTATCACATCCTTACTGATGATAACAGTGAGATATAGTCACTATCACATCCTTACTGATGATAACAGTGAGATATAGTCACTATCACATCCTTACTCATAACAGTGAGATATAGTGAGATATAGTCACATCCTTACTCATAACTGTGAGATATAGTCACTATCACATCCTTACTGATGATAACAGTGAGATATAGTCACTATCACATCCTTACTCATAACAGTGAGATATAGTCACATCCTTACTCATAACTGTGAGATATAGTCACTATCACATCCTTACTGATGATAACAGTTAGATATAGTCACTATCACATCCTTACTCATAACAGTGAGATATAGTCACTACCACATCCTTACTCATAACAGTGAGATATAGTCACTATCACATCCTTACTCATAACAGTGAGATATAGTCACTATCACATCCTTACTCATAACAGTGAGATATAGTCACTACCACATCCTTACTCATAACAGTGAGATATAGTCACTATCACATCCTTACTCATAACAGTGAGATATAGTCACTACCACATCCTTACTCATAACAGTGAGATATAGTCACTATCACATCCTTACTGATGATTACAGTGAGATATAGTCACTATCACATCCTTACTCATAACAGTGAGATATAGTCACATCCTTACTCATAACTGTGAGATATAGTCACTATCACATCCTCACTGATGATAACAGTGAGATATAGTCACTATCACATCCTTACTGATGATAACAGTGAGATATAGTCACTATCACATCCTTACTCATAACAGTGAGATATAGTCACATCCTTACTCATAACTGTGAGATATAGTCACTATCACATCCTTACTCATGATAACAGTGAGATATAGTCACTACCACATCCTTACTCATAACAGTGAGATATAGTCACTATCACATCCTTACTCATAACAGTGAGATATAGTCACTATCACATCCTTACTCATAACAGTGAGATATAGTCACTATCACATCCTTACTCATGATAAGAATGAGATATAGTCACTTTCAGGTAACAGTGAGATATTGTCATTGTCACATCCCTATTCATGATAACAAAAAGACATAATCACTGTTTCATCTCTGTTCATGATAACAGTGATATATAGTCACTGGCCTACCTTAACTCATGATAACTGTGAGATATAGTCACTGCTTCATCTCTGTTCATGATAACAAACAGATACAGGCATGTAGCAACACCTCTATTCATCATGACAGTGTTTGTGGGTGTATTTTGTCTACACTGCTTACTGCAATATTCCAGCCAGGACTTCGGGCGGTGTTATAAAAAAGTGTGAAGCAGACAAATCTGTGACAGGGAGACCATCAACCACCGAGTCTGACCACACAAGTCCAGGTGCTGATGTCATTTCTTATTCAGAATTCCCACTCCATGAAAACAGTGAATATATTCACCTGGTGTATGTCTTCCATACACAGAGGGTAGAGAGACTTGACAGGAGACAGCGACACAGAGGGCAGCACGTCCATGATATCACCAACCTGCAACACTCAAAAAACTGTTATACGCCAAATATGAATCCTGCAACACATGATATACACCAGATATCAACCCTGCAACACATGATATACACCAGATATGAACCCTGCAACACATGACATACACCAGATATGAACCCTGCAATACATGTCATACACCAGATATGAATCCTGCAACACATGATATACACCAGATATGAATCCTGCAATACATGATATACACCAGATATCAACCCCGTAACACATGATATACGCCAGATATCAACCCTGCAACACATGATATACACAAGATATGAACCCTGCAATACATGATATACACCAGATATCAACCCCATAACACATGATATACACCAGATATCAACCCTGCAACACTTGATATACACCAGATATGAACCCAGCAATACATGATATACACCAGATATGAACCTTGCAATACATGATATACACCAGACATCAGCCCTGCAACACATGATATACACCAGATATGAACCCTGCAATACATGATATACACCAGATATCAACCCTACAATACATGATATACACCAGATATCAGCCCTGCAACACATGACATACACCAGATATGAACCCTGCAATACATGTCATACACCAGATATGAATCCTGCAACACATGATATACACCAGATATGAATCCTGCAATACATGATATACACCAGATATCAACCCCGTAACACATGATATACGCCAGATATCAACCCTGCAACACATGATATACACAAGATATGAACCCTGCAATACATGATATACACCAGATATCAACCCCATAACACATGATATACACCAGATATCAACCCTGCAACACTTGATATACACCAGATATGAACCCAGCAATACATGATATACACCAGATATGAACCTTGCAATACATGATATACACCAGATATCAGCCCTGCAACACATGATATACACCAGATATGAACCCTGCAATACATGATATACACCAGATATCAACCCTACAATACATGATATACACCAGATATCAACCTAGAACATGACATACATCAGATGTGAACCCTTCAACAGATGATGTACACCAGATATCACCTTAAACAAGAAAATACATCAGACATTACCCTCCAATATACTGAGGGAAACAAATAAGGGAACATCACTTCATGGCAGTGTTCCTTTATTTATTCTCAGATTTCCTCCCACAGCACTATTAAAAGCTGGTGGTGAAAACTGGAAAATATTAAAGGAACACTTGAATTTTCCTGTGTCCCTTTATTTGTTTCTCTTAGTATCTACCCTCGATATCTCCCTGCAACATATGATATATGTTGGATAATTAGACCAGTGTTACCATAATACACACATGGTATAACTATCCTTATATAAACCTGATGAGATGTCATCTTATGTTTCTTAAGGTTTCTTTAATAGTGGAAAGCCTGCAAACTCATTTACAGTTAATATTGTTTTGCTTGCAACTAATCTAGTGTTCATTATTAGGTGACTCATTTCTATCCAGTCGGAAGATTTGGTTAAAAATCTTTCAGCCTTTATGTTTTACCTGAGCAGTTTTATATTTCAGACAAAACCAAAGAATGGGCCCTCACCAGCTTCATCTGTACTTGACCATATGCAAACTTCACTGTATTAGGTGGGACTGGAGCAACTGGCCGTTTCACATACTGAAAACAGACACAACAATTAGGCCTTCTGCACAGGGTGGAAGCGCTGTCCACATGAAATGTGGAGTTGCCCCAAAAGCAACTCCATTTCCTCGCTGGACAGTGAAAGGAGGACACGTGGCGCAAGAGTAATGGTAAGTTTTTCCTCGCATTTGCATTATTGTGCAAGTATATCAGGTTTTGCCATTTGGCAGAAGGATGTAGAAATTACAGATCTGTCTGTAATAGCTTGACACCCTCTATATTTATTACAATTGCGCGTTAAGCGAGAGCACCCTTCTGAGAGTCGAAACAAGATCGCAGAAATGATCGTTTCAACACGAAATATGACATCCTCATCAGCAGACACACCTTTTTTTTGCTGTCAATTCTTTGATATAGTGATTTTAGGTCTTCATTCGCAGTTTAGGCTTTAATGTATCAGTACTTTTCAATGATCGACGAAAAATCAATCTGTACATTTTATATCGAGTTGTTCACGTTTAGCAAACAAACTGTCCATTGCGTTGTGATATTACTGTCCAGGAGTTGACAGTTTGTAGTTTTAACCGTCAGGTCATCAAACGTTATTCTAGAGATATTTGTTGTGAAGAAGAATGTTTTGTTACTGCCTACCTGGCATATTTATTACGATTTTTTATCTTCAAGTATGATTGTACACCCTCATTGCAGTTTGTACCCTGTCTGGGATTTATTGGATGCAAACCTATAAAAACACATATTAATTTTTTTTTTAAAAACCATGCATTCGTTTCACTTCAGCTGTACTTGCCAGCGTATACACGACATGAAAACGAAGCTAAACAGGAGTGACCTCCCTTTCAAGTCACTTTCGCACGTACAAACGAAAGTATTTTATTTAAAATCGTGACCGTAATGTCACATGATGTTCAATGATGATAGATATAGATCAAGTACTTTGGTAGATGTCGTGAAAATACAAAGTAACCTGATTGGCTAATTTTTCCGGTCTTTATCGTCGGGTTCCCTCATATTTTCCCGGTTTCTACCCACCTTATCCGATTGCTTCCCAACCAGTGGCATCATGGCGGAGCGTTCGTCAGGCTCAAATGGGCCAGGATTCAAACATTTTACAAAATCATGTACGATCAGAAGTGTATTAACAAATATACAAATATACATCTACCCCAGGAATAACCAAAAAAAGAGAATTCCAAAGTGTTTACATTGTTCATACTATCATTCAGATATTAGTACTGCACATTCGGGTAAAGCACATCACTAAGCATCTGAAAACCAAGGGACATCTAACCAATGTTGAATGTGCGAAATCAAATACAATATGACTTCCTTTGTTCCCACCGGTGGCACCAACAGCGATATGGACAAGTCAATGGCTGTTGTAAAAAAAATAAAGGAGAAATCCAAATGGCACAATTTAATGAGAAAATGAACTTGCCGATCTTATCTGCAGACCTTACGAAGACAGTCAAAACTGTGTTGAAGTTGATCGATAAACACCATTCTGGCATTCAGGAATGTTTCAATTTTTCTTTCTTATAAAATAAGATTGTACACTTTTGACACATCAAAATACACTTTCAAACCACCATGAATACACTTTGCAGACAAAGGGGGTAGGCAGGTCTGTTATTGTACATAGTCTGTGGTTAATATATGCATTAGTTTGATATGTTTAAGGTTTCAGGAAATGAATTTGAACCACTGGATATAGTTGCATATATCCTTCAATACCAGTTGTTTGTTGTCAAGCACACCCAAAAAAAAAAGAAGAAGAAATAGGCTGGAGACCGAGTCAAAACATTGATTTCACAATAGTCTCGTTTCCTGCTGACTGGGGTCCGTCCTATTGCATAACTTAGTAGAATAACCAGTTCAGAATGTTGAGACCAACTCATTCAACTGGATATATAAATATTAATCTTTATTATTTGATACATCTAATTACATGTCACTTGTATATTGGACACTACTCTCCTTCTGATCCGTACTCTGTCGTACAACTTGCTCTGACAAACAGAAATCTGGAAATCGTGGAAATCTCAAAAAGAGGTTCGGCTGCGAGAAAAGTTTGGCGGTCTTGTACGGACTTGATATTATATCAATCACATTGTGCGTGACAAAAATACACTTAATAAGCGCAAAGAACACATAACAGGTGTAACCAGTGAGCCAGATGAATTATGAAACGTTTTTTACGACCTCATAAAACAGGGGCAGTCTGTGACGTCTAAGTTAAAGTCATGCTATCTAAACCTAGCCACAAAATATAGAAATACAATTTTGTTAAAGTTCATTTGTAAATACCAATTTCTTATGAAACAAGGAATTGGAATTTAGTGTAACCATAGTTGTCTGTAGTGTCTCTTTTCACTTTCACACGAGAAAATTCAGATCGGCTGAAAAGTATGTCATTGTCTGAATTGGTTCATGAACCTCATGTTTCGGTTTGACCGCTGCCACATATGCGGCAAGTTCTACAAGTCTTCATTTGGCCTCAGACTGCATGTTAAAGGGATCCTTCACAACAACTACCGTTTCCATTGCCAAGTCTGTGGAAAAGGGTATCAAAAACTATGGGATTTCAACAGTTAATGCTCTAAAATCCTAGCTAAGATAAATAGCGCTACTAAAATCCATGCAACTACATGGACAGTTACTTCAACTCAAACATTCAAAGCAATGGAAAGTTTCAAAACAACTCCATGTAAAATGTACAGTTTGATTTTTCGATGATAACTGAAAAATTACCGATGCATTAAAGCCTAAACTGTGAATGAAGACCTAAAATCACTATATCTAAGAACTGACAGCAAAAAAAAGTGTGTCTGCTGATGAGGATGTCATATTTTGTGTTGACACGATCTTTTTCTTTCGACACTCAGGAGGGTGCCCTCGCCTAACGCGCAATTGTAATAAATATAGAGGGTGTCAAGCCATTACAGAAAGATCTGTAACTTTCTAGATCCTTCTGCCAAATGGCAATACCTGACATACTTGCAAATTAATGCATATGCGAAGGAAAACTTACCATTACTCTTGTGCCACATGTTCGTCTTTCACTGTCCAGCGACGAAATGGAGTTGCTTTTGGGACAACTCCACATTTCGCGTGGACAGCGCTTCCACCCTGTGTTGTGTGTAATATCAGATGTAGCTTCACTCCTGGGCCCCATTAGCGCTACGATAACTTTGTGAAACGGATGCCGAACAATAACATCACATACCAAGTTAACTATAGTTATATGAGCAAATCGCTTCTTCTTTTGAATGCAGCTGAGTAATGGGTAAAAATGACACTTTAATTTGACCACCATATTATGTATGATGTGAATTTTGTATGGGAATTTGAGATATACCCAGAATCATGGGTGGGTGAGTGACTTCCCCCACTTTGTAAAGTAGCGTGTCATGTCAGCTTGGTGAGGGAGAGCGTCCTAAGACCTAAGTAGATCAATGTAACTTCTGGCAATAGTATGCTGAAGAGACTGCAGTCATAATTCTCACTTTGTAAACAACTTTCCGTATCGTGTGGTACTTCTCCCTCAAATCTCCTGCCTCAGACATGGGAGCATCATGGTCGTACGTCGTCGTGACAAACTTCACCTTGTTCCCAGTTCCTGGTAAACTTCCTTCAACACACAACAGCCGCTACTGATAATTGCTGCATCATTAATAAAACAATGAAACCATATTCATGAAGTGTCAATGTCTTAGAGAGGAGTTAAAATCAGAGTGCATATTCTGATAGATTCTCCACATAGTTGATACTTCCGGTTCGAATCCCACATGGGATGTGAGCCCATTTCTGGTGTCATCAATATCCCCATGCATGGATGTTGCTGGATATATTGCTTCAGAAAAGCGAAAACCAAACAGTCAGTCTCCATTGAAGACTCTAAAAGGATGAAACTTCTGTGGATGTACTCTGGCTTGTACCCCAACAAGGAGTACCATCAAAGGTATATCTGACAGCTGACTTACAGCTGATTGGCTCAAGAATCCATCCATTCTTCATTTTGATTGAAAGCGGTGGTCAAAGTTTGCCAAGTTTGGTGAAGAAATAGTGCAGGTTCTCCCTGCACATTCTCCTATGGAGACATCCTTAGAGGGAGTTTAATAGAAAGGTTTTTACACTGCTTTTAGCAATATTCCAGTAATATCAATAGGCAGCCAGTGAAGAGACATCAGGATGGGGGTGATGCGGCAGTGTTTAGGTTGGAGAGTAACTATGCGGGCAGCTGTGTTCTGGATTCGTTGGAGCTTTTGGATGGACTCTTGTGAAGCTGCAACCAACAAGCTGTTGCAATAGTCAAGTCGTGAGAGAATCAGTGTTCTCACCAGGGCAGCCGCAGCATCCTGTGACAGGAGATGTCTGATCTGTCCAATGTTACGCAGATGGAAGTAACATTTTCTGCATACATCCGAAATCTGTTTCTTCATGGAGAGGTCAGATTGGAGTAGGACGCCAAGATTTCTGACATATGGAGAAGGTTGAATGACCATACTTCCAACTTTCAGCTGATCATGTTGTGATTTTACTAACATGTTACTTGTGCCAACAATCATAACCTCTGTCTTGTGTTCATTTAGTTTTAGTTTGTTATTGAACATCCACGCACCAATATCGTCGATGGCATCTTCAATTCTGGTTAAGTCAGAATTGTTGTCACAGCCCCTGGTAATACCATCAAACAACTGAGTATCGTCAGCATAGAGATGATGATTAGTAGCTTTCTCACAAAGCAGGTCGCCAATTTCTTTGGTATACAAAGAGAACAATACAGGACCGAGAACCGATCCCTGTGGTACACCACAAAGAAGCATAGCTTCCTTGGTCTGAGCATTATGAACAGCACCAGATTGAGTCCTGTTTGATAAGTAGGACCTAAACCATAGAAGAGTCGTATCATTTAATCCGTACTGTAACATAAGTCTTGATAGAAGTATCTGGTGATCCACCGTATCAAACGCGGCTGATCAAGTGATACATCAATAATATAAACCTGAAGAGTGCCTCTCACTATATATTAAGCATCTCTTGTTTTCCCGGAATAACCGCATTTGAGGTTTTTGTTTGCTCTCAGGTTTTACTTTTTGTAAGTAAGACCTCTTCCCAGGTTTTACTTTTTGTCATTATTCTTTCATAACTCTTTATGAACATCAACATTCCCAGTGTTTGAAATCTTCACAAAGACTAATTTCAAAGTGCAAATGTTTTCTCACGTAAGATCGGAACCGCATCTTTCAGGTTATTAACTCACGGCCACCAAGCCAACGAAGATGTTGGGGTTGAATTATCTATTTATAGTTACTGTCATTAAATTGATTTTACTTGCACTTCAGTTATTGTTATGTAGCTTCATTAAATGATCATCTACATTATAATTATCCATCATTGACAGTTTATATGTTAGGAGAAACACTTCCCCAAGGATTTGGTAGAGAATGTAAATCCTTGGGAGGAGGGAAATCCCGAGGGGCTAAAAACCTTGGGAGGAGGGAAATCCTGAGGGGCTAAAAACCTTGGGAGGAGGGAAATCCCGAGGGGCTAAAAACCTTGGGAGGAGGGAAATCCTGAGGGGCTAAAAACCTTGAGAGGAGGGAAATCCCAAGGGGCTAAAACCTTGGGAGGAGGGAAATCCTGAGGGGCTAAAAACCTTGGGAGGAGGGAAATCCCGAGGGGCTAAAAACCTTGGGAGGAGGGAAATCCCGAGGGGCTAAAAACCTTGGGAGGAGGGAAATCCCGAGGGGCTAAAAACCTTGGGAGGAGGGAAATCCCGAGGGGCTAAAAACCTTGGGAGGAGGGAAATCCCGAGGGGCTAAAAACCTTGGGAGGAGGGAAATCCCGAGGGGCTAAAAACCTTGGGAGGAGGGAAATCCCGAGGGGCTAAAAACCTTGGGAGGAGGGAAATCCCTCTACCAAAACATTCTCTACCAAAACCTCGGGGGCATGTTTTCTCCTATACTTCAAGGTCAGGGTCAGTCATGTGATTTGAGTAAAACTCTTTGATTCAGTTTGCTATTGTTAGGTCAGCACTTAAATTTATTGGTCTTTCACATGATATGGTTTAACCAATTTAAATTCAAAGATTCGTAAATAACGTATAACGATATTTATTGTTACCATGGTTACACTGACACTTACCACTTGTATATCCAAAATTGGTTCCTCCGTCAAACATATACCTACAGAAAAGACAAACAGTTTTACTGACAATTGAATATACCTACATGTTGATATTGGCGCTATATGCCACAAGATATACCTACATGTTGATAAGATATACCACAAGATATACCTAAATGTTGATATTGGTGCCATATACCACAAGATATACCTACATGTTGATATTGGCACCATATCCCACAAGATACACCTACATGTTGATATTGGTGCCATATACCACAAGATATACCTACATGTTGATATTGGCACCATATGCCACAAGATATACCTACATGTTGATATTGGCACCATATGCCAGCAAGATATACCTACATGTTGATATTGGCACCATATGCCAGCAAGATATACCTACATGTTGATATTGGCACCATATGCCAGCAAGATATACCTACATGTTGATATTGGCACCATATGCCAGCAAGATATACCTACATGTTGATATTGGCACCATATGCCAGCAAGAGGTCCAGACTCTGCGCTGCCTGCTGGGGAGACTGCTTGGAGTGGTTGTATCCCCAGTAGTCTAGAGGAGACTCCACGTAGAACTCGGAACACACCTGCAAATATGCAAACAGAATTCCATGACGACACTCTCTCCTGATCTAGTATGATTAAGATTTTACCTTGATAGTGAAATGAATCTGTTATCTGTAACCAACAGCAGCTGGGGCGGTGGGGTAGCCTAATGGTTAAAGCATTTGCTCATCACTCCAAAAACATGGGTTCGATATCCACATGGGTACAATGTGTGAAGCCCATTTCTGGTGTCCCCCGCCGTGATATTGCTGGAATATTGCTAAAAGCAGCGTAAAACCATACTCACTCACTCATCAACAGTTGAATATTGCCCAGATATTTTATGAAAAGCATTTCATGACTCACTGTATGAAACAAAATCACGAATAGAGTGAATATATCATTTCAATGTAAATCCTGATTCTAAATATCTTGCAAACAGGGACATTGAATTTAAAAAACTTTTGGTTGATTTATGTATTTACATACAGACGCCAACAAATATCACAAAAGTGAATAACACTGTTTGACAGTTGAAAGTTAGAAAGTGTATTTCTAGAAATTTACAGATATAACATTTGAGACACACACATTATGATGTAAGGACAAAAGAAAGAATATCCTGAGACGAGTGAAAGACAAACTGAGACAAGTGTCACATGACATATCCATGAACCGTCAGGCATCAGGTGACTCACCAGTGGGCCGTGAGGCTGGAACTGACGCTGGACAGCAAACACTTTCTCGGGCGAGTCTGAAAGTTGTTTAACCATTTGGTGAATTTGCATAAATAGAAATAATATGACACCATGTCCTGGATTGGTTTGGCTACTTCATAATTTGTTATAAATTTGTCAGTTATAATTTGGACATTTACTAGATTCACAAAATAATGAATAAAACATACCTGATCAGGGAGTTATATTTCTAGAATATCTGAACTTGTAACTTGTAACATTAACCTGTCAGCCCAAAGTCGATTGTAGAATAAAGTCCTTCAAGAGTCCCACATCGGAGGTAGCTTGCCCCAGCGCCATCTGTTGTGAACAGGATGACATCGTCACCAAGGTAGGACCTCATGATGTCACGTAGTGTCCGCAGGTAGTTGTGGTCACAGGCAAAGTACGATCCATACTCATTCTCCACCTGCAGCCAGTAAGTTAGTGAGTGATACAGTGGTTAGTGAGGGAATTAGATGGTGAATGAATTGGTGAGTGAGTGAGTTAGTAGATGGGTAGGAGTTTGAGTGGATTTAGGATTTGAGAAAATGAGCGTGAGTTGGTTAGCAAGCTTGTTGGGTGGTTGGGTGAGTGTTAGTTGCTGGAAGGGTGAGTGAGTGAGTTTCATCTGGAACATTCAATTGTTTTGGCGTTTTGCTCCAGAAATGAGCACTACTCTCAGTAAAGTCTTTTTTGTTGCCATGACAATAAAAAATCCCAATTCATCAAAAAACACCAGTTCACTATGAGACTCAGCTGAATAGCAAGTTTTATCCAGAAATATTCAATGGTTTTGAAGTTCTGCTTCAAACAGAGACACGGACGGATATGCACACTGCTATATTCCCCCTGTATTCAAACCAGGCGGACAAAAGTGATCCTCAAAAAGTGCAGGAGGAAAATAATATGTGCTTCAGTACCAAATGGAGATAACTGGTGTTTGATACCAGTAAAGCAACTGCAACTGAGTTACCTCCCTTGTTAATGCGCTGATCTTTCAGATTTGTACCTGATCAGTTGGAAGAGAAAAGATTAACTGACATTCTAATCACTTTCATCTATTCTAATACATCAAATGATCCAAACCTGAATTGTTACATCTTCAAGTGAGTGAGCTTGGTTTTACACCACTTTTAGCAATATTCCAGCAATATTCCAGCAATATCAAGGCAGGGGACACCAGAAATGGGCTTCACACATTGTACCCATGTGGGGAATCTACGTCTTCAAGAAACGTTTTAGGTACATATCACACCTGCACTGATATGATAGGTCCTCCATTACTGTAGAGGAGAGGGCGGACCCGGGGCAAGAGATCAGCGTACCATCTCGCCACAGCCTCCATGTAATCTGTCGTATACAAGCACACATGTACAGGACATTGGCCAGACAAACTCTGGAGATTGTACAAATCATCAGTTATTGTAGGATATTCCACACAACTAGTACATGCTCGAGGTGCTGGAGTGTTCCCTTGATCAACGGATGTCTTTTTTCTGGCTTTCTTCTTCTGGGGAGTATTCAACTCATGCAGCCTGTTAAGCGCAGCGAGTATCACACAACCTGAGACACATAGTCTCAGTATTTTAGATACTGTACATTACTATACCCGCAACTAGGTGTCTGCATGTGTTCGTGTGTCCACCATCTGGTCACCTACCGTCGGATGAGTGGGTTCTTTTAAGTGCAGAGGGTTGTGTACTTCACACTAGGGGTACAAGTGACAACACTGAATATAATGTGTGCCTTCACCTGTAATGGTGTGTATGAACACCTGTAAGGGTTGCCTACCTACTACCTGTAATGTGTGCCCACCTGTAATGTGTGCCCACCTGTAATGTGTGCCCACCTGTAATGGTTGCCTGCCTGTAATGTGTGCCATACCTTGTAATGTGTGCCCACTGTAATGGTTGCCTACCTGTAATGGTTGCCTACCTGTAATGTGTGTGCCAACCTGTAATGGTTGCCCACCTGTAATGTGTGCCTACCTGTAATGTGTGCCCACCTGTAATGTAATGTGTGCCCCACCTGTAATGGTTGCCCACCTGTAATGGTTGCCTACTGTAATGTAATGTAATGGTGCCCACCTGTAATGTGTGCCCACCTGTAATGTGTGTGTGCCCACCTGTAATGTGTGCCCACCTGTAATGTGTGCCCACCTGTAATGGTTGCCTACCTGTAATGTGTGCCCACCTGTAATGTGCCCACCTGTAATGGTTGCCCACCTGTAATGTGTGCCCACCACCTGTAATGTGTGCCCACCTGTAATGTGTGCCCACCCCACCTGTAATGTGTGCCCACCTGTAATGTGCCCACCACCTGTGTGTGCCCACCTGTAATGGTTGCCTCACCTGTAATGTTACCCCTACCTGTAATGTGTGCCCACCTGTAATGGTTGCCTACCTGTAATGGTTGCCTACCTGTAATGTGTGCCCACCTGTAATGTGTACCCACCTGTAATGTGTGCCCACCTGTAATGGTTGCCTACCTGTAATGTGTGCCCACCTGTAATGTGTGCCCACCTATAATGTGTGCCCACCTGTAATGTGTGCCCACCTGTAATGTGTGCCTACCTGTAATGGTTGCCTACCTGTAATGTGTTCCTACCTGTAATGGTTGCCTACCTGTAATGGTTGCCTACCTGTAATGTTTTCCTACCTGTAATGTGTGCCCACCTGTAATGTGTCCCTACCTGTAATGTGTCCCTACCTGTAATGTGTGCCTACCTGTAATGTGTCCCTACCTATAATGTGTGCCCACCTGTAATGTGTGCCCACCTGTAATGAGTGCCCACCTGTAATGTGTGCCTACCTGTAATGGTTGCCCACCTGTAATGTGTTCCTACCTGTAATGTGTGCCCACCTGTAATGGTTGCCTACCTGTAATGGTTGCCTACCTGTAATGTGTTCCTACCTGTAATGGTTGCCTACCTGTAATGTGTCCCTACCTGTAATGTGTGGCCACCTGTAATGTGTGCCTACTTGTAATGGTTGCCCACCTGTAATGTGTCCCTACCCGTAATGTGTGGCCACCTGTAATGTGTGCCTACTTGTAATGGTTGCCCACCTGTAATGTGTGTCCACCTGTAATGGTTGCCCACCTGTAATGTATACCCACCTGTAATGTGTCCCTACCTGTAATGTGTGGCCACCTGTAATGTGTTCCTACCTGTCATGTGTGTTCACCTGTAATGGTTGCCCACCTGTAATGTATACCCACCTGTAATGTGTGCCTACTTGTAATGGTTGCCCACCTGTAAAGTGTCCCTACCTGTAATGTGTCCCTACCTGTAATGTGTGGCCACCTGTAATGTGTGCCCACCTGTAATGTCTGCCTACCTGTAATGTGTGCCCACCTGTAATGGTTGCCTACCTGTAATGTATACCCACCTGTAATGTGTGCCTACCTGTAATGGTTGCCCACCTGTAATGTGTGCCCACCTGTAATGTGTGTCCACCTGTAATGATTTCCAACCTGGTGTCTACCTGTAATATATATGCCTACCTGTGTTGTTGCTACGTAGAAGGATGTTCCTATTGACGTAGCGACTCTCCATCAGCCAGCCAGGCAGGCCGCCCTGCAACAGAAGTAACAGACGTCCATCTTGTCTCCATCAGACACAGGCGAAGGGCTGGGGTATCTGACAGGCATATATACATCCACTGAGCGGTCAAGTATGGCATAGGAATTCTAAGAGGACAGTTTTTGCACATTTTATCCATTTTGTAGACTAAACACACATGATAATATTCACGAATAGAAGCATGTATTCATACTGTTCGTAAAAATGTTCTAAAAAATAAATAGGGTAATTTTTTTTAACTTAAAAAAGGAAAAATGTTAAAATAGTCATACGTAAGTGTAGGGCTATTAGTTATGGAAAATGCAAACATCAGATGGTGAATTGTGTTAGAAAACACATATTATGAGACTTGCAAGTGCTCGGGGAAAACAGGGTTGTTGTTGTTGATTTTAATTTGCAAACATCCATGCATAACGTGGTAGCATTTTAATCGCATAAAGCGATTTGAACATCTAATGTAAAGAAACATGTCTTGATTGATGTGTTCAAGGGAGGTAACTATGTGGAGCTTAATTACCTTCATCTACAACGAGCGAGACATGGATAAAATACATGACAGTTCAGCGGTGGTTCAAGTGAAGCATTAGGTTATCCGTACGTCCAGATTATCTTTCAACAAAATTACTTGACTTACCAAACAACAGCTAGAGACAACACTTAAGTTCATTGTAAGTGACACCTTCCTATAATTGATTAAGTTGTATGCAGAAATGACAACTTTGAACTGTGCAAGACAAAACAGATCCTTCTGTGTAATGTGTCACTGAATCAGACACATTTAATACAGACCCAGACTGACAGACTTGTGTATCAAACACCTGTATCAGCACTACATCGTAACCTAGGCAACCAAACAAGACGTACAAAGTCCCAGCCTGCATCAGTGTAGGGCCCGGGCCGCAGGATGACCAGCAAGCCCACATCTTGAGCCAGTTTCACGAAGGTCGCAAAGTCCAGATTCCCAGAGAAATCAGACTGGAAGGGTCGACGCTGATGAAAATTCCATGGCACATAGCTGCAACACCAGAAAATCAACTTTATAATCAGAGTTCTAGATAAATAGCATCATAAGCACAAAAATATGCAGAATATGTCACCAGAACCCATAGTCATATCTAATACATCTTATATTTCATACTTATATACAATATACTAATGGATTGCAAGCATCACATATACTGAACAATATACAAAATATACCCCTGGGTTAAAAACACCTAAGCAAATACTGAATGGCTCAAAACAATCATTTGGAGCCCAGCTGACTTGGTTTTGGTTTTAATTTTAACTCCAATCATAAAAGGTAGCTATGGAACTTAACCTCAATTTCACATGTTCAATGCAGGCAAATTTTATCTTTTCTAATGTGTCCTCTGCCTTGGAATAACATCTTGACAATGAAAGATTGCTAAATAAGAAATTACACTGCTGTTTCACAGGATGCTCCAAAGATATGTTAGATATTTTCTTTCATAATTTATGAAAAAAGAGAATCATTATATATTTGATCCATAACACTTTCATCAAACTTTCTCAATGGGCCTTTTGTCATGGCATAATATCTTGTCAATGAAATATTGTTAAGTGAGAAAACACATTGCCATTTCACAAAATGCTCAAAACTTTATTAACATACATAATAAAAAAAGGAAAATTAAACAGATCTGTCATACAATGTTGTTGGAGTTAAAAGACAACAAGGGTGCGTTTAGTGAAATGATGATTTTAAGGGGGGTGGGGGTGGGTGGGTTTCACCCATTGTGTTCTGGGGGAGCCATCAATTTTGTACACACATAAGGGCGTGGGGTGGGGCAGCAGCAATTTTGTACATATAAATATGTTTCAATTTATGCTTAGAAATTATGGGAATGGGAGGGGGGTCACTGATTTTGTACATGACATGCAGGGGGGTCACTTATTTTGTACATAAATTTAAGGGGGGATCATTCACATTGTACATGCTTCTCCATAAAAATCATCATCACCCCCCCTAGCCATAAATTATGAACGGTCCCTTAACATGCAATTTAACACGCTGAAATGTTCAAAGTGTCTCTGTGACCTTGAAAATTAAGTGAAGGCCACCCAAATTGACTGGGCCCTGCGCCTTCCCTAGATAAGGCTTGGTGTTGAATATGAAGAAAATCCAGGGAACGGTTCTTGAGATAGCTTAACATGCAGGTTAACATGCTGAAATCTTCAAAGTGTCGCCATGACCTTGAAAATTAAGTCGCTAAAATCGACTGGGCCCTGCGCCTTTCCTAGATAAAGCTTGGTATTCAATATGAAGAAAATCCAGTGAACGATTCTTGAGATAGCTTAACATACAGGTAAAACGTCCCCTTGTGACCTTGAAATGAAGGTCAAGGTCACCAAACCTGACTTGGGCCTTTCTTATACTGTGATGAACCTAGGTACCAAATATGAAAAGAATCTAGTCAACGGTTCTTAACATATTCCAATTTGTACGGACGTACGTATGAAGGGACGGACAGACGGAGCCTAATATTATATCCCCTGCTTCGCACTAAACGCGCGGCGGGGGATAAAAAAATACACAGTTGAGAGAGATCCCGTGCCATGCATTAATTTTGTGCTGAAACGACACAAGGAACTTATGGTGAGGGAGCAGAAGAATATTTACTGCAGTGTTCAACAGACTTATCAAGATCAACAAAAATCAAAACTAACAAAAAAATTGATTTTAGTGTTTTTGAGCAATCAGAAATACATATGAAATTCAGTTTCCATTTCCCCAAAACATCTGAAAGTTCAACATTATTCTTGAGCTTATACACTATCGGAGTGACTTCAGTTCAATGCTCTTTTGGTGGTGGAATTGGGTTTAACGTCGTGCTTGAGAATATTTCGCTCATATGACAACGTGCATGCGTGTGTATGTGTATGTGCGGCTGCTTGTACTAGCCCAGACTTAAGCTGGTTTTATAGTGCTAGCCCACTGAGATACCATGCGGCAGTGAAGCATGAATACCCCACTCAGACACATTATACTGACTCCGAGCCGACCAGTCCTTGTTGTACCCATTAATGCCGAGCGCCAGGCAGGGACCAACAAGTACCATATTTTAATGTCTTTTGATATGACGCTGTCGGGGATCCTTTGAACAGCAATTCAGCTACATCATGGCCAACTTAATTCTGGATTAAAAGGCTACAATGAACCTACAATGATTGGTTCCTGGCAAGTCCAAGGGAGGCCACTATGTACAGCTTATACATCAAGTTAACATCCTCACGTTTGTATTGTGTTCAGTCCCGCAGCATACATCTTCATCAGCCGATCTTTCCAGTGCTCCCTCGGTACACGAGTATAGTGGATGCTGCCCGAGATGTAGCGAAAGGCTTCCCCATCCTTGACAAACGTGTCGTGAGAATAGTCAATAGTAAAGCTTCTGGTCTCAACCTGAAATTAAGAAAATATGTTACATTCTATTTGCTGCACACCTGCAAAAACAAAACACACACCTGCATCTACACAATACACACCTGCATATACACAACACACATCTGTATCTACACAATACACACCTGCATATACACAACACACATCTGTATCTACACAATACACACCTGCATCTACACAACATACACCTGCACCTACACACGAAACACCTGCATCTACACAACACATACCTGTATCTACACAACACATACCTGCATCTATACAACACACACCTGCATCTACATAACACACACCTGCATCTACACAACACAACTTCATCTACACAACACACACCTGCATCTACACAACACACACCTGCATCTACACAACACATACCTGCATCTACACAACACAACCTGCATCTACACAACACACACCTGCATCCACACAACACACCTGCATCTACACAACACATGCCTGCATCTACACAACACACACCTGCATCTACACAACACACACCTGCATCTACACAACATACACCTGTATCTACACAACACATACCTGTATCTACACAACACATACCTGCATCTACACAACACACACCTGCATCTACACAACACACACCTGCATCTACATCTACACAACACACACCACAACACACATCTACACTACACCTGCACCTACACACGAAACACCTGCATCTACACAACACACACCTGCATCTACACAACATACACCTGCACCTACACACAAACACACCTGCATCTACACAACACACACCTGTATCTACACAACACATACTTCATCTACACAACACACCTGCATATACAACACACACACCTGCATCTACACAACACACCTTCATCTACCTGCATCCTACGCAACACACACCTGCATGTATACAACACACACCTGCATCTACACAACACACACCTGCATCTACACAACACACCTGCATCTACACAACACATACCTGCATTTACACAATACACACCTGCATCTACACAACACACACCTGCATCTAAACACACCTGCATCTACACAACACATACCTGCATCTACACAACACATACCTGTATCTACACAAAACACCTGCATCTACACAACATACCTGCATCTACACTACACATACCTGTATCTACACAACACATACTTGTATCTACACAACACATACCTGCATCTACACAACACACACCTGCATATAGACAACATACACCTGCATCTACACAACACACACCTTTTTCTCTACACAACACACCTGCATCTACAGAACATACACCTGCATCTACACAACACACATCTGCATCTACACAACACACACCTGCATCTACATAGTCCAGCATATAACTAGACAACTTTGCACTATACCAAGGTGTAGGCCTTGGTTGGAATACGAGTTTATTCATATGAACTAGCATCTACACAACACATACCTAATTACTTGAAGTTAACCAATGTGTAGAACTATGAGAAGATGAAGATGATTCATTTTTCCTAATATCAATTGCTTGGCGCCATAGCTACTCAGTCGGAAACAAGTTTAGAATTCCATGTATTGCAGCAGATGATTCACAAAGTATATGTTGCACAATAAGAAAACAGGCGTCAATGTTTTCTTAATGTTACAACAATCTATATGAAATCTGCTACATCTACTGCTGATTTCCGCAATCATTAAATTAGCTCTTGTGATGAAATAAGTTTAGATATTATATTTTCTGCAATCTTCATCCGTTATGGAGGAAATAAAGAACATCCATGGGAGCCCATCTATCTGCCCTTGAGTTGTGGGAGTCACTCACCCCTACAACCACCAGCAGTCCTGCAGCTACCAAAGATGTCCATGATCGGAGTAGTCTGCACCCCATTCTGCCCGAGATGTCACCTTCTATATCCCTGTCACACAAGTGCAGAATTACACGTAAACACAACCTGTTACCTTCCTAATTACGTCATAATCACTGAACTGCCAATACTGTCACATGACAATTGATCTTTCCGGCTTTACCTATAAGTTTTAATAACACATATTATGGAGCCATATCTCATGGCTGACAGTGTTGTCGAAGGGAAGTAACTCTGATTTCCAAGTGGCCTACCACAAGTAGAAATGTTCAGCGCGGCTTAAGACTTAGTTACACTTTTTTGTGCTTATAGCGATTAATGACGTGCTGATCATTAAATAATAACAAAATCGATATTCGGGTAACATAGTACTTGCTTTCAGAGTATGATGATAAACTGTTAAACTGTTTGAGATGCATTCTAGAAGTCTTTATGGATGATCAACTTCTTTATTGTACAACAGAATGTGCAACAAAATGCAATAACTACATTCAGGAGTCATATATGATTCTCGCAGAGATTCCAGCATGAACTGTTCCATGCCTACGTTAGTGGAAGGATGCGTTATTAGTATAAGAAACCTTGGGCGATCGGTATTATTTTAGGAATACCCCCCAGGTACGCACATATGTAAAGGGGGCGGGGCGGTAGCCCAGTGGTTAAAGCGTTCACCCGGTTCGATTCCCCACATGGGTATAATATGTGAAGCTCATTTCTGGTGTCACCCCGCCGTGATATTGCTGGAATATTGCTAAAGGGGCGTAAAACTAAATTCACTCACTCACACTCACATATCTAAAGAGGCGACAAAGTGGATCGGGTGGACAGAGGTAGATTTCGTTCCATCGTATCCAACAGACAGTGCTCATACTATCAAACAGTGGTTTCTCCAGACAGGTCAGTAGAATATTGCGGCGTTTGAACAAATAATATACAAATAAAACCTTGTAAGAAACAAACAAAAGGAGAAAAGAAATCGACATCTCGTTTGGCCGTCTCATTGGGGCCACACATTATATTTAGGCGTGCGAGAACGTTGGTTCGAATCCCAGATTGGCCTCAACCTAACAAGTACTAGAATCTGTTTTTTATTGAGAAAGTGTAATCCCAAAAAATGACATATTATTAATAACGCGTGTATTTTGGAAATTAGATCGCTTGGCTACCACTATACCAACCCACACGCACACAAGACCATAGGGAATGCATGATGAGTTTATTTAAGAAATACAGTTAGCTTTACCACCATGAACTATTATAGTTTAAGTACGAGGACGCTTGCGTCCGAGTGCTTTGACGTTATAATAGTTATGGGCGAAAGTGTGCTTTATTACACTATACATGGTGGTAGAGCGAACTGTAGTTTTTTTCTAAGATGCCAAATTTAATACTTTCTAAGGATAATAACGATTAATTTAAGGCAGAAAACAAACGACGGTGTCGATGACCTAAATTAAGAATTCTCGCACAGGGCTAACTGGCGCGCTGTTCTATTGATGTGTCTGCCCCTACGTTAAGACGAACGTTACCAGAAAAAGACAAATGATAACAGTTTGATGACGGTTTACGTTCGGATTAAATATCTTCTCTGAATTATTTTAATTACATCTGTCATTAACGTAAACCATATGGGGCAATATGAACGTCGCATTTCTACTACCAACGTAAGTTTAGATCAGTACATCCAGATGAAGCTGAGTAGTCAAGCGACATTCCACGATTGTATTGTGGGAATGTAAACATTGCGAACGTTACCGTGTCGCTAAAAAACTTGTGAGTCGAATTGACACATTTTAACCGTTGTAAAACATAAAGGTAATGTTTCCACCAGTGATGTTAGCTGCGTGAAGCAACTGCAAACCAAGAAACGGGATGCAACGGGGAATCGAACCGGGTGAACGCTTTAACCACTAGGCTACCCCACAGCCCCCTTTGACCCGTGAAGATCCGGGGTAGAATAGGTCTTCAGCAACCCATGTGCTTGCCATAAAAAGGCGACTATCTTGTCGTAAGAGGCGACTAACGGGATCGGGTGGTCAGTTTCGCTGACTTGGTTGACACATGTCATCGGTTCCCAATTGCGCAGATCGATGCTCATGCTGTTGATCACTGGATTGTCTGGTCCCAGACTCGATTATTTACAGACCGCCGCCATATAGCTGGAATATTGCTGAGTGCGGCGTAAAACTAAACTCACTCACTCACTCACAGCCCCCTTTCTTTTTTTCCGTTATTATTTATTTTCAATCTTTACCCTCATACTCTGAAAACAAGTACTATGTCACACGAATGTTGATTTTGTATATATTTTAAGATGAGTTCGTCATCTAATATATGTATATTATGCACAAAACAGTAACGTTTTGCCCTATGACGCGCTTATCTTTTCTTCATGTGGTAGGCCACGTAGAAATCAGACTTACTTCCCTTGGACAACACTGTCACCAATGAGATAAGGCTCCATAATATGTGTTATTAAAACTAATAGGTAAATACGGATAGGTCAATTGTCATGTGACGGTATTTGCGGTTCAGTGATTATGACGTAATTAGGAAGGTAACAGGTTGTGTTTACGTGTAATTCTGCACTTTTGTGACAGGGATATAGAAGGTGACATCTCGGGCAGAATGGGGTGCAGACTACTCCGATCATGGACAACATCTTTGGTAGCTGCAGGACTGCTGGTGGTTGTAGGGGTGAGTGACTCCCACAACTCAAGGGCAGATAGATGGGCTCCCATGGATGTTCTTTATTTCCTCCATAACGGATGAAGATTGCAGAAAATATAATATCTAAACTTATTTCATCACAAGAGCTAATTTAATGATTATGGCAATCAGCAGTAGATGTAGCAGATTTCATATAGATTGATGTAACATTAAGAAAACATTGACGCCTGTTTTCTTATTGTGCAACAGATACTTTGTGAATCATCTGCTGCAATACATGGAATTCTAAACTTGTTTCCGACTGAGTAGCTATGGCTCCAGGTTTGTGCTGTGTGTTGTGTAGATGCAGGTGTGTGTTGTGTAGATGCAGGTGTATGTTGTGTAGATGCAGGTGTGTGTTGTGTAGATGCAGGTGTATGTTGTGTAGATGCAGGTGTGTATTGTGTAGATGCAGGTGTGTGTTGTGTAGATGCAGGTGTGTGTTGTGTAGATGCAGGTGTGTGTTGTGTAGATGCAGGTGTGTGTTGTGTAGATGCAGGTGTGTGTTGTGTAGATGCAGGTGTATGTTGTGTAGATGCAGGTGTTGTGTAGATGCATGTAGATGTGTATGTTGTGTAGATGCAGTTGTGTGTATGTTGTGTAGATGCAGGTGTGTGTTGTGTAGATGCAGGTGTATGTTGTGTAGATGCAGGTGTATGTTGTGTAGATGCAGGTGTATGTTGTGTAGATGCAGGTGTGTGTTGTGTAGATGCAGGTGTGTGTTGTGTAGATGCAGGTGTATGTTGTGTAGATGCAGGTGTGTGTTGATGCAGGTGTGTGTAGATGATGTGTGTTGTGTAGATGCAGGTGTGTGTTGTGTGTAGATGCAGGTGTGTGTTGTGTAGATGCAGGTGTGTGTTGTGTAGTGTGTGTTGTGTGTAGATGCAGGTGTGTGTTGTGTAGATGTATGTTGTGTAGCAGGTGTATGTTGTGTAGATGCAGGTGTGTGTTGTGTAGATGCAGGTGTGTGTAGATGCAGGTGGTAAGTTGTGTTGTGTAGATGCAGGTGTGTGTTGTGTAGATGCAGGTGTGTGTTGTGTAGATGCAGGTGTGTGTTGTGTAGATGCAGGTGTATGTTGTGTGTGTGTTGTGTAGATGCAGGTGTATGTTGTGTAGTGTATGTTGTGTAGATGTGTTGTGTAGATGCAGGTGTGTGTTGTGTAGATGCAGGTGTATGTTGTGTAGATGCAGTGTGTGTTGTGTAGATGTGTATGTTGTGTAGATGCAGGTGTATGTTGTGTAGATGTGTATGTTGTGTAGATGATGCAGGTGTGTGTTGTGTAGATGCAGGTGTGTGTTGTGTAGATGCAGGTGTGTGTTGTGTAGATGCAGGTGTGTGTTGTGTAGTGTGTTGTGTAGATGCAGGTGTATGTTGTGTAGATGCAGGTGTGTGTTGTGTAGATGCAGGTGTGTGTTGTGTAGATGCAGGTGTGTTGTGTAGATGCAGGTGTATGTTGTGTAGATGCAGGTGTATGTTGTGTAGATGCAGGTGTGTGTTGTGTAGATGCAGGTGTGTGTTGTGTAGATGCAGGTGTATGTTGTGTAGATGCAGGTGTGTGTTGTGTAGATGCAGGTGTGTGTTGTGTAGATGCAGGTGTATGTTGTGTAGATGCAGGTGTGTGTTGTGTAGATGCAGGTGTGTTGTGTAGATGCAGGTGTGTGTTGTGTAGATGCAGGTGTGTGTTGTGTAGATGCAGGTGTGTGTTGTGTAGATGCAGGTGTATGTTGTGGTGTGTGTTGTGTAGATGCAGGTGTATGTTGTGTAGATGCAGGTGTATGTTGTGTAGATGCAGGTGTGTGTTGTGTAGATGCAGGTGTATGTTGTGTAGATGCAGGTGTATGTTGTGTAGATGCAGGTGTGTTGTGTAGATGCAGGTGTAGATGCAGGTGTATGTTGTGTAGATGCAGGTGTGTGTTGTGTAGTGTGTGTTGTGTAGATGCAGGTGTGTGTTGTGTAGATGTAGATGCAGTGTGTGTTGTGTAGGTGTAGATGTTGTGTAGATGCAGGTGTGTGTTGTGTAGATGCAGGTGTATGTTGTGTAGATGCAGGTGTATGTTGTGTAGATGCAGGTGTGTGTTGTGTAGATGCAGGTGTATGTTGTGTAGATGCAGGATGTGTGTTGTGTAGATGCAGTGTGTGTGTAGATTGTGTAGATGCAGGTGTGTGTTGTGTAGATGATGTATGTTGTTGTGTAGTGTGTGTTGTGTAGATGCAGGTGTGTGTGTTGTGTAGATGCAGGTGTGTGTGTTGTGTAGATGCAGGTGTATGTGTGTGTTGTGTAGATGCAGGTGTATGTTGTGTAGATACAGATGTAGATGCAGGTGATGTGTTGTGTAGATGCAGGTGTGTGTTGTGTAGATGCAGGCAGGTGTGTGTTGTGTAGATGCAGGTGTGTGTTGTGCAGGAGTGATAGATGCAGGTGTGTGTTGTGTAGATGACCAGAAGTGTACTGTTGTGTAGATGCAGGTGTATACATTGCAGTAGATGCAGGTGTACCGAGGGATCACGGAGCCTTTTAATCCAGAATTAAGTTGGCCATGATGTAGCTGAATTGCTGTTCAAAGGATCCCCGACAGCGCCATATCAAAAGACATTAAAATATGGTACTTGTTGGTCCCTGCCTGGCTTCGCATTAATGGGTACAACAAGGACTGGTCGGCTCGAGTCAGTATAATGTGTCTGAGTGGGGTATTCATGCTTCACTGCCGCATGGTATCTCTGAAAGTGGGCTAGCACTATAAAACCAGCTTCAAAGTACAAGCAGCCGCATTACACATGCACGCTTGTCATATGAGCCGAAATATTCTCAAGACGACGTTAAACCCAATTCCACCACCAAAAGAGCATTGAACTGAAGTCACTCCGATAGTGTATAAGCTCAAGAATAATGTTGAACTTCCAGATGTTTTGGGGAAATGGAAACTGAATTTCATATGTATTTCTGATTGCTCAAAAACACTAAAATCAATTTGTGTTTTCTCACTTAACAATATTTCATTGACAAGATATTATGCCATGACAAAAGGCCCATTGAGAAAGTTTGATGAAAGTGTTATGGATCAAATATATAATGATTCTCTTTTTTCATAAATTATGAAAGAAAATATCTAACATATCTTTGGAGCATCCTGTGAAACAGCAGTGTAATTTCTTATTTAGCAATCTTTCATTGTCAAGATGTTATTCCAAGGCAGAGGACACATTAGAAAAGATAAAATTTGCCTGCATTGAACATGTGAAATTGAGGTTAGGTTCCATAGCTACCTTTTATGATTGGAGTTAAACCAAAACCAAAACCAAAACCAAGTCAGCTGGGCTCCAAATGATTGTTTTGAGCCATTCAGTATTTGCTTACCGGTAGGTATTTTGAGACACCGCTTTGTATATTGTTCAATCCATTAGTATACTGAGATCTATAAGCATGAAATATATAATATATTACATATGGCTGTAATAAATTGGGTTCTGGTGACGTATTCTGCATATTTTTGTGCTTATGATGCTACGTATTTAGAACTCTGATTATGATGACGATTTTCTGGTGTTGCAGCTATGTGCCATGGAATTTTCATCAGCGCCGCCCCTTCCAGTCTGATTTCTCTGGGAATCTGGACTTTGCAACCTTTGTGAAACTGGCTCAAGATGTGGGCTTGCTGGTCATCCTGCGGCCCGGCCCCTACACTGATGCAGGCTGGGACTTTGTAGGTCTCGTTTGGTTGCCTTGGTTACAATGTAGTGCTGCTACAGGTGTTTGATACACAAGTCTGTCAGTCTGGGTCTGTATTAAATGTGTCTGATTCAGTGACACATTACACAGAAGGATCTGTTTTGTCTTGCATAGTTCAAAGTTGTCATTTCTGGATACAACTTAATCAATTATAGGAAGGTGTCACTTACAATGAACTTAAGTGTTGTCTCTAGCTGTTGTTTGGTAAGTCAAGTAATTTTGTTGAAAGATAATATGTAAATTTGAGATTTTTCCGCCCTAAAATATGATGATATACCATGTTTACGATTGTCGACAACACTTCATGTCCTCTAAATACCTCTAAATAGGATAACCTAACGCTTCACTTGAACCATCTCTGAACTGTCGTTTAGTTAATCCAAGTCTCGCTCATTGTAGATGAAGGTAATTAATCCCCTCAGAGTTACATGTACCTTCCTTGAACACATCAATTAAATCATTTTTCTTGTTTTGCTACCACGTTATGCATGGACGTTTGCAAAATAGAATTAAGAACAGCCATGTTATAGTTTTACCTGAGCACTTGCAAGTTTAATAATGTGTGTTTTATAAAAAAAAATCAATATCTGATGTGTGAAGTTTCCAGAACAAATAGCCCTATTCTTATGAACAATTATTTTAACATTTTTACATTTCAGTGTCAAGATAAATGTACATTGATACAAACAGTATGAATACATGCTTCTATTCATGTATATTATTATGTGTGTTTGGTCTTCTTGTTTACAAAATGGATAAAATGTACAAAACCTGTCCTCTTGGAATTCCTATACCATACTTGCCATGAGATGCCTTGACCGCTCAGTGGATGTATATATACCTGTCAGATACCCCCGCCCTACGCCTGTGTCTGATGGAGACAAGACGGATGTCTGTTACTTCTGTTGCAGGGCGGCCTGCCTGGCTGGCTGATGGAGAGTCGCTACGTCAATAGGAACATTCTCCTACGTAGCAACAACACAGGTAGGCATATATTACAGGTAGACACTCATTACAGGTTGGAAACCATTACAAGTAGGCACACATTACAGGTGGGCACACATTACAGGTAGGGACACATTACAGGTGGGCAACCATTACAAGTAGGCACACATTACAGGTGGGCAAACATTACAGGTAGGCAACCATTACAGGTAGGGACACATTACAGGTGGGCACACATTACAGGTAGGGACACATTACAGGTGGGCACACATTACAGGTGGGCACACATTACAGGACGGCACACATTACAGGTGGGCACACATTACAGGTAGGGCACACATTACAGGTAGGCACACATTACAGGTAGGCAACACATTACAGGTGGGCACACATTACAGGTGGGCACACATTACAGGTAGGGACACATTACAGGTGGGCACACATTACAGGTGGGCAACCATTACAGGTAGGCACACATTACAGGTTGGCACACATTACAGGTGGGCAACCATTACAGGTGGGCACACATTACAGGTGGGCACACATTACAGGTAGGCAACCATTACAGGTGGGCAACCATTACAGGTGGGCACACATTACAGGTGGGCAACCATTACAGGTAGACACACATTACAGATGGGCACACATTACAGGTAGGCACACATTACAGGTGGGCAACCATTACAGGTGGGCAACCATTACAGGTAGGGACACATTACATGTAGGCACACATTACAGGTAGGCACACATTACAGGTGGGCACACATTACAGGTAGGCAACCATTACAGGTTGGCAACCATTACAGGTAGGCAACCATTACAGGTAGGCACACATTACAGGTAGGCACACATTACAGGTAGGGTAGGGACAACCATTACAGGTGGGCAACCAATACAGGAAGGCAACCATTACAGGTGGGCACACATTACAGGTAGGGACACATTACAGGTGGGCAACCATTACAGGAAGGCACACATTACAGGTGGGCACACATTACAGGTAGGGACACATTACAGGAAGGCAACCATTACAGGTTGGCACACATTACAGGTGGGCACACATTACAGGTAGGCACACATTACAGGTAGGGACACATTACAGGTGGGCAACCATTACAGGAAGGCAACCATTACAGGTGGGCACACATTACAGGTAGGCAACCATTACAGGTAGGCAACCATTACAGGAAGGCAACCATTACAGGTAGGCACACATTACAGGAAGGCAACCATTACAGGTGGGCAACCATTACAGGTAGGCAACCATTACAGGTAGGCACACATTACAGGTAGGCACACATTACAGGTAGGGACACATTACAGGTGGGCAACCATTACAGGTAGGGGTAGGGACACATTACAGGTGAAGGCAACCATTACAGGAAGGCAACCATTACAGGTGGGCACACATTACAGGTAGGCAACCATTACAGGAAGGCAACCATTACAGGTGGGCACACATTACAGGTAGGCAACCATTACAGGAAGGCAACCATTACAGGTGGGCACACATTACAGGTAGGCAACCATTACAGGAAGGCAACCATTACAGGTAGGCAACCATTACAGGTAGGCAACCATTACAGGTAGGCAACCATTACGAAAACACATTACACACATTACAGGGTAGGTAGGCAACCATTACAGGTAGGCACACATTACAGGTAGGCACACATTACAGGTAGGCAAACACATTACAGGTAGGCACACATTACAGGTAGGGGCACACATTACAGGTGGGCAACCATTACAGGTGGGCACACATTACAGGTAGGCACACATTACAGGTAGGCACACATTACAGGTAGGGACACATTACAGGTGGGCAACCATTACAGGTAGGCAACAATTACAGGTAGGCAAACCATTACAGGTAGGGACACATTACAGGTAGGCATACATTACAGGTAGGCACACATTACAGGTAGGGACACATTACAGGTGGGCACACATTACAGGTAGGCAACCATTACAGGTAGGCAACCATTACAGGTAGGGACACATTACAGGTAGGGACACATTACAGGTAGGGACACATTACAGGTAGGCACACATTACAGGTAGGGACACATTACAGGTGGGACACACACATTACAGGCACACATTACAGGTGAGCACACCATTACAGGTAGGCACACCATTACAGGTAGGGGACAACCATTACAGGTGGGCACACATTACAGGTAGGGACACATTACAGGTAGGGACACATTACAGGTGGGCAACCATTACAGGTGGGCACACATTACAGGTAGGGACACATTACAGGTGGGCAGACATTACAGGTAGGCACACATTACAGGTAGGCAACCATTACAGGTAGGCACACATTACAGGTAGGCACACATTACAGGTGGGCACACATTACAGGTGGGCACACATTACAGGTGGGCACACATTACAGGTAGGCACACATTACAGGTAGGCACCATTACAGGTGGGCACACATTACAGGTAGGCACACATTACAGGTGGGCACACATTACAGGTGGGCACACATTACAGGTAGGCACACACAGGTAGGCACACATTAGGTGGGCAACCATTACAGGTGGGCAACCATTACAGGTAGGCACACATTACAGGTGGGCAACCATTACAGGTGGACACACACATTACAGGTGGGCACACATTACACGTGGGCAACCATTCCAGGTAGGCACTCATTACAGGTGGGCAACCATTACAGGTGGGCACACATTACAGGTGGGCACACATTACAGGTAGGCAATCATTACAGATAGGCAACCATTACAGGTATTCAGATTCTTGCTACAAGTAGTGGTAGGCATTCAGTATGAACATTTGTGACAGGAAATTATGGTTTTATTTGTTTCCGTTAACTATAAACAGAGTTGATACACAAACAAGTCTTTCAACCAATATATCTGCAGAGTTTGTCTGGCCAATGTCCTGTACATGTGTGCTTGTATTCGACAGATTACATGGAGGCTGTGGCGAGATGGTACGCTGACCTCCTGCCCCGGGTCCGCCCTCTCCTCTACAGTAATGGAGGACCTATCATATCAGTGCAGGTGTGATATGTACCTAAAACGTTTCTTGAAGATGTAACAATTCAGGTTTAGATCATTTAATATATCAGAATAGATAAAAGTGACTGGAATGCGTACATCAGTTAATCTTTTCTCCTCCAACTGATCATGTACAAATCTGAAAGATCAGTCATCACGCATTAACAAGGGAGGGAACTCAGTTGCAGTTGCTTTACTGGTATTAAACTATCTTAAAACTCCAGTTATCTCCCTTTAAGTCTTTGGTACGGAAGAACTTATTATTTTCCTCCTGCATTTTTTGAGGATCACTTTTGTCCGCCTGGTTTGAATAACGGGGTAATGTACTACTGAGCATGTCCATCCGTGTGTCTGTCTGAAGCAGACCATTGAATATTTCTGGATAAAACTTGCTGTACAGCTCAGTCTCATGGTGAACTGGTGTCTTTTGATGATTTGGGATATTTATATTGTCATGACAACAAGTAGGACTTTACTTTAGAGCTCATTTCTAGAGCAGAACTATCGAATATTTTCAGATGAAACTCAGTCTCACTCACTCAAGCACCAACAAGCTTGCTAACCAACTTTTCCATTAACAAGCTTGTGAACCAACTCACTCACTCATTTTCTCAAATCCTAAATCCACTCAAGCTCCTACCCATCTACTAACTCACTCACTCACCAATTCATTCACCATCTAATTCCCTCACTAACCACTGTATCACTCACTAACTTACTGGCTACAGGTGGAGAATGAGTATGGATCGTACTTTGCCTGTGATGACAACTACCTGCAGACACTACGTGACATCATGAGGTCCTACCTTGGTGACGATGTCATCCTGTTCACAACAGATAATGCTATTGCAAGCTCCCTCCGATGTGGGACTCAGGATGGACTGTATTCTACAATTGACTTTGGGCTGACAGGTTAATATAATTTATTTTATTTATTATTAAATGATATTTATATAGCGCACATATCCACGCAACTAGTGCATGCTCAAGGTTCTGGTATATTTTCCCCTCAATCATTGGATGTCAAATATTACAGTTTTCAAGTTCAGATATTCTGGTAATATAACTCCCTGATCAGGTATGTTTTCTTCAATATATTGTGAATCTAGTAAATGTCCAAATTATAACTGACAGATTTATAATAAATTATAAAGTAGCCAAACCAATCCAGGACATGGTGAAATATTATTTCTATTTATACAAATTCACCAAATGGTTAAACAACTTCCAGACTCGCCCGAGAAAGTGTTTGCTGTCCAGCGTCAGTTCCAGCCTCACGGCCCGCTGGTGAGTCACCTGATGTCTGCTGTTCGTGGATATGTCACGTGACACTTGTCTCCATTTTTCCGAGAAGAAAAGGATGCTCTTTCTTTTGTCCTTACATCATTATGTGTGTGTTTCAAATGTTATATATATTCGAATTCGTGTAACCGGAAATCAAATGATGACAACTATGACAGGGAATGGTGGGGACCGACAGGTACTTCCAGTTATGCATAATATTCGAGACGCCGGCATTCGACTCATCGTGATTTGACTGTATTTATTTGATTCATAATTTTGTTTCATACAGTGAGTCATGAAATTCTTTTCACAAAATATCTGGGCTGTGTTCTGCTGTTGATTACTGATAACATATTCACAATCAAGGCATAATGTAATCATTCTAGATCAGGAGACAGTGTCATCATGGAATCCTGTTTGCATATTTGCAGGTGTGTTCCGAGTTCTACGTGGAGTCTCCTCTAGACTACTGGGGATACAACCACTCCCAGCAGTCTCCCCAGCAGGCAGCGCAGAGTCTGGACCTCTTGCTGGCATATGGTGCCAATATCAACATGTAGGTATATCTTGTGGTATATGGTGCCAATATCAACATGTAGGTATATCTTGTGGTATATGGTGCCAATATCAACATGTAGGTATATCTTGTGGCATATGGCACCAATATCAACATGTAGGTATATCTTGTGGCATATGATGCCAATATCAACATGTAGGTATATCTTGTGGCATATGGTGCCAATATCAACATGTAGGTATATCTTGTGGCATATGGCCAATATCAACATGTAGGTGGTATATCTTGTGGCATATGGTGCCAATATCAACATGTAGGTATATCTTGTGGGCCAATATATGGTGCCAATATCAACATGTAGGTAGGTATATCTTGTGGTATATCTGTGGCACTGCCAATATCAACATGTAGGTATATCTTGTGGCATATGGTGCCAATATCAACATGTAGGTATATCTTGTGGCATATGGCGCCAATATCAACATGTAGGTATATCTTGTGGCATATGGTGCCAATATCAACATGTAGGTATATCTTGTGGCATATGGCGCCAATATCAACATGTAGGTATATCTTGTGGCATATGGCACCAATATCAACATGTAGGTATATCTTGTGGCATATGGTGCCAATATCAACATGTAGGTATATCTTGTGGCATATATATCTTGTGGCATATGGCACCAATATCAACATGTAGGTATATCTTGTGGCATATGGTGCCAATATCAACATGTAGGTATATCTTGTGGCATATGGTGCCAATATCAACATGTAGGTATATCTTGTGGCATATGGTGTCAATATCTACATGTAGGTATATCTTGTGGCATATGGTGTCAATATCAACATGTAGGTATATCTTGTGGCATATGGCGTCAATATCAACATGTAGGTATACCTTGTGGCATATGGGCAATATCCATGTAGGTATATCATACAATATCAACATGTAGGTATATCTTGTTGTGGCATATGGTGCCAATATCAACATGTAGGTATATCTTGTGGCATATGGTGCCAATATCAACATGTAGGTATATCTTGTGGCATATGGTGCATCAATATCAACATGTAGGTATATCTTGTGGCATATGCCAATATCAACATGTAGGGTATATCAATATCAACATGTAGGTATATCTTGTGGCATATGGTGTCAATATCAACATGTAGGTATATTTTGTGGTATATGGTGTCAATATCAACATGTAGGTATATGTTGTGGTATATGGTTCCAATATCAACATGTAGGTATATCTCGTGGGATGTGTCATAATTCTCATACCTTTTCATTTGCCAGTAAATATGTTTGACTGTTCTGTAGGTATATGTTTGAAGGAGGAACCAACTTTGGATATACAAGTGGTAAGTGTCAGTGTAACCAGTGTAGTTTTTAAGATTGAGCCCGGTTTATTTTCAACAGCTGATTAGATTCGCTGAGTGTTGTGACAACTGAAAACCTACATGTAGAAGATAAGTTACCTATTCTGTCATTTCATTTAGGTCAAATAATTGTTATTAGTGTCAGTATTAGTACAGTAGATTTGTAGTAAAGTTTCAAGTCGGCATGTTGTAGCTCACTGGCTTCAATTTTCGGTACACAGCATAACAAAACAATTACTGGCAAGGTCAGTATGCAAAAACACGGATGGGAGGACCCAACACCTCTTGTTGCCTGACCAAATCTCATTATAATCTTTTACTCTGATGGAACACCTATCTGTGTCAAGATCTGAGATTGGGAGGTTGTGCCAGGAGAACCTATGGCAAACTTTGACCACCCAATCAAAATGAAGAATGGGTGGATTCTTGAGCCAGTCAGCTGTAAGTCAGCTGTCAGATATACCTTTGATGGTACTCCTTGTTGGGGGTACAAGCCAGAGTACATCCAATAGAAGTTTCATCTGATCTTCTTGTGGAGAAGTATCCTATCAGAATATAGCTCTGATTTTAGTGACATTGACACTTCATGAATATGGTTTCATTGTTTTATTAATGATGCAGCAATTATCAGTAGCGGCTGTTGTGTGTTGAAGGAAGTTTACCAGGAACTGGGAACAAGGTGAAGTTTGTCACGACGACGTACGACCATGATGCTCCCATGTCTGAGGCAGGAGATTCGAGGGAGAAGTACCACACGATACGGAAAGTTGTTTACAAAGTGAGAATTAGGACTGCAGTCTCTTCAGCATTGCTATTGCCAGAAATTACATTGATATACTTAGGTCTTACGACACTCTCCCTCACCAAGCTGACATGCCACGGTACTTTACAAAGTGGGCTCACTCACTCACTCACTCACTCACTCACTCACTCACTCACTCACTCACTCACTCACTCACTCACTCACTCACTCACTCACTCACTCACTCACTCACTCACTCACTCACTCACTCACTCACTCAGGTGCATTCAAAAGAAGTCAAAGAACATCTGATTTGTTCACATAACTCTGACTGTCGTAAGTCAATGTTATAGGAGTTTCGATGGTGATAGCACTACAATAGCTGTGTGAAGATACATCTGATATTACACACAAGGCCTAATTGTTCTGTCTGTTTTCAGTATGTGAAACGGCCAGTTGCTCCAGTCCCACCTAATACAGTGAAGTTTGCATATGGTCAAGTACAGATGAAGCTGGTGAGGGCCCATTCTTTGGTTTTGTCTGAAATATTAAACTGCTCAGGTAAAACATAAAGGCCGAAAGATTTTTACCAAATCTTCCGACTGGATAGAAATGAGTCACCTAATAATGAACACTAGATTAGTTGCAAATAAAACCATATAAACCATAAACAGGGATACTCTTCTATTCTCCCTGCCGTAAATGAGTTTGCAGGCTTTGCACTATTTAAAGAAACCTTTAGAAAAATAGGATGACATCACATGACATCAGCTTCACTGAGGTTAGTTATGTTACCCTGTTTGTATTGGGTAACGGTTATTATCAGATGTATATCATATATTGCAGGATGCAATTGTACAAAAATAACTCAAGCTAAGATTACCTTATATCTCCTTAAGTTTTAACCTTAGGCTTTTGCAAAAGTTGACATCCCTTTGCACAAATCTAACTTACACAAAGGTAGCCTTAGTTAACTGTTGATCCGACCCAACATTAGTGTGGCTAAGGGTGATGTGTTTAGTTATTTGAACATGGCTACATTCTTGTGAATGTGTGAGGTAACTGGTAGATAGCATATATGAAGGATCATATAGATCTGTTTTTCATCAAATAACCAATCATAATTACGGAGTTAAGGTTGCCGCTAAGCATCCTCCCAACATGAAGTTGAACAAAAGGTAACTTTGTGCAACGTGTGTAACTTTTTGTTAAGTGTGTAACTTTTTGTTTAATGTTTAACCTTAGTCACTATATATATATTAGTGAAGTTTGTTTTGTATAACGGCACCCAGGTAGATATCCAGGGTATGCCATTTTAGCATGACCACCCGAAATTTTTGTTATATATATATATATTTGAGGGGAATATGAATATAATGTTTAATGTTGATATCTGGTGTATGTCATGTGTTGCTGGGTTGATATCTGGTGTATATCATGTGTTGCTGGGTTGATATCTGGTGTATATTATGTGTTGCTGGGTTGATATCTGGTGTATATCATGTGTTGCTGGGTTGATATCTGGTGTATATCATGTATTGTAGGGCTGATATCTGGTGTATATTATGTGTTGCTGGGTTGATATCTGGTGTATATTATGTGTTGCTGGGTTGATATCTGGTGTATATCATGTATTGTAGGGCTGATATCTGGTGTATATTATGTGTTGCTGGGTTGATATCTGGTGTATATTATGTGTTGCTGGGTTGATATCTGGTGTATATTATGTGTTGCTGGGTTGATATCTGGTGTATATCATGTGTTGCTGGGTTGATATCTGGTGTATATCATATATTGTTGGGCTGATATCTGGTGTATATTATGTGTTGCTGGGTTGATATCTGGTGTATATTATGTGTTGCTGGGTTGATATCTGATGTATATCATGTGTTGCTGGGTTGATATCTGGTGTATATCATGTGTTGCTGGGTTGATATCTGGTGTATATCATGTGTTGCTGGGTTGATATCTGGGTATATATCATGTGTTGCTGGGTTGATATCTGGTGTATATCATGTGTTGCAGGGTTGATATCTGGTGTATATTATGTGTTGCTGGGTTGATATCTGGTGTATATCATGTATTGCTGGGTTGATATCTGGTGTATATTATGTGTTGCTGGGTTGATATCTGGTGTATATTATGTGTTGCTGGGTTGATATCTGGTGTATATCATGTGTTGCTGGGTTGATATCTGGTGTATATCATATATTGTTGGGCTGATATCTGGTGTATATCATGTGTTGCTGGGTTGATATCTGGTGTATATTATGTGTTGCTGGGTTGATATCTGGTTTATATCATGTGTTGCAGGGTTGATATCTGGTGTATATCATGTATTGCTGGGTTGATATCTGGTGTATATCATGTGTTGTTGGGTTGATATCTGGTGTATATCATGTGTTGCAGGGTTGATATCTGGTGTATATCATGTATTGTAGGGCTGATATCTGGTGTATATTATGTGTTGCTGGGTTGATATCTGGTGTATATTATGTGTTGCTGGGTTGATATCTGGTGTATATCATGTGTTGCTGGGTTGATATCTGGTGTATATCATGTGTTGCTGGGTTGATATCTGGTGTATATCATATGTGTTGTTGGGCTGATATCTGGTGTATATTATGTGTTGCTGGGTTGATATCTGGTGTATATCATGTGTTGCTGGGTTGATATCTGATGTATATCATGTGTTGCTGGGTTGATATCTGGTGTATATCATGTGTTGCTGGGTTGATATCTGGTGTATATTATGTGTTGCTGGGTTGATATCTGGTGTATATCATGTGTTGCTGGGTTGATATCTGGTGTATATCATGTATTGCTGGGCTGATATCTGGTGTATATTATGTGTTGCTGGGTTGATATCTGGTGTATATTATGTGTTGCTGGGTTGATATCTGGTGTATATCATGTGTTGCAGGGTTGATATCTGGTGTATATCATGTATTGCTGGGTTGATATCTGGTGTATATCATGTGTTGCTGGGTTGATATCTGGTGTATATCATGTGTTGCAGGGTTGATATCTGGTGTATATCATGTGTTGCAGGGTTGATATCTGGTGTATATCATGTGTTGCTGGGTTGATATCTGGTGTATATCATGTGTTGCTGGGTTGATATCTGGTGTATATCATGTGTTGCTGGGTTGATATCTGGTGTATATCATGTGTTGCAGGGTTGATATCTGGTGTATATCATGTGTTGCTGGGTTGATATCTGGTGTATATCATGTGTTGCTGGGTTGATATCTGGTGTATATCATGTGTTGCGGGGTTGATATCTGGTGTATATCATGTGTTGCAGGGTTGATATCTGGTGTATATCATGTGTTGCAGGGTTGATATCTGGTGTATATCATGTGTTGCAGGGTTGATATCTGGTGTATATCATGTGTTGCTGGGCTGATATCTGATGTATATCATGTGTTGCAGGGTTGATATCTGGTGTATATCATGTGTTGCAGGGTTGATATCTGGTGTATATCATGTGTTGCAGGGTTCATATCTGATGTATATCATGTGTTGCAGGGTTGATATCTGGTGTATATCATGTGTTGCAGGGTTCATATCTGGTGTATATCATGTGTTGCAGGGTTCATATCTGATGTATATCATGTGTTGCAGGGTTGATATCTGATGTATATCATGTGTTGCAGGGTTGATATCTGGTGTATAACATGTATTGCAGGGTTGATATCTGGTGTATATCATGTGTTGCGGGCTGATATCTGGTTTATATCATGTGTTGCAGGGCTGATATCTGGTGTATATCATGTGTTGCAGGTTTCATATTTGGTGTATAAGAGTTTTTTGAGTGTTACAGGTTGGTGATATCGTGGACGTGCTGCCCTCTGTGTCGCTGTCTCCTGTCAAGTCTCTCTACCCTCTGTGTATGGAAGACATACACCAGGTGAATATATTCACTGTTTTCATGGTGTGGGAATTCTGAATAAGAAATGACATCAGCACCTGGACTTGTGTGGTCAGACTCGGTGGTTGATGGTCTCCCTGTCACAGATTTGTCTGCTTCACACTCTTTTATAACACCGCCCGAAGTCCTGGCTGGAATATTGCAGTAAGCAGTGTAGACAAAATACACCCACAAACACTGTCATGATGAATAGAGGTGTTGCTACCTGCCTGTATCTCTCTGTTATCATGAACAGAGATGAAGCAGTGACTATATCTCACAGTTATCATCAGTAAGGATGTGACAATGACAATATCTCACTGTTATCATGAGTTAAAATGTGACAGTGACATATCTCAAAGTAACAATGAAGAATCTTTTTCGGCATAACATCCAACTGAAACCTCTGTCATTTGAGTGTAAAGTAAATTATGACATGGAAATCATTAATAGTTTGATGTCTCATCTTGCCCCTTTCATCAATATCGTTAACGTTGTTCCTACAGTATTATGGCTTTACCCTGTACCGCCACGTCTCCGAGAGGTCCTATGTCAGCCAGGAACTGTTGTTGGATGGCATTCGCGACAGAGGTTACGTCATCATCAACAAGGTATTACAGGGGTGGGGGTGACAAACTGGCTTATGTTGTCTCCCTTTGCTGCCAGGGCTCCACTGGTTGTTGATGGGCCCAATTTAGGCATCAGGAATCTTATATTTGGTCTGTCAGCATGTGTGATGATTTCACCATGCAGACTAGGGTTTCCCTGTTAAGGTTTCAAGAGAGTGGGTTTAAATGGAGTCGGTTTATCAAAGAGGATGTCATTTGTTTATAATAATTCTTTCGATGTTTCTTGCTCTGATTTGTTCAGCACCATAAATGAGCTGATGAGTGTCAACAAGTAGGTAGATGTTTGATACCTACATCACTTGGGACTCCCTCCACTAGCTGACATGGTACGATAGAACTGGAATACTGTTCTCAGCATATTTTAGCCAAATTCACTCACTCACCCTTGCAGGTGATGCAGGGTATCCTTGTCAGAGGGGAGATAACCCATCTGAACATCACTCTACATAAGGGAGACAACCTTGACATCCTTGTTGAAAATCAAGGCAGATCATTAAATGGCATTGACTTCAATAAGAACCAGAAGGTAAGATGTTGTACTCAAGATTGTCTCCAAGTATTTAAATTCAGAATATAAAGGTACGAAACAGAGTTCTGTCCCTTAGCTGTGCCAGGCTCTTGTACCTTCACCATGTGTGAGGGATGGACCAAAGTGAAAATACAAAGTACAAAATGTATCACATGGTCATTCCTTCCACAAGAAGTTGAAATGCCTTTGTACAACCGAAAACTAGTCCAAGTGCAGAAAAATCCATCTCACTGAAATACTCTGTCCTTGTTGTCATGTGGTAACAACATCACACAGTCGATTCTCTGTTGTGTGGAAACATGTTAGATACGTGGGTGTAGGGCCTGTGCAATACTCTGACAGGCCAGTGGTATGCATAATCTACTTGTATTCATGAAAACCACCAAGGCTTTGCCTGTATTTTCTGAGCAATGATACCTTTATCCTTACTCCACCCTTAAACATTTCTCAGCTGGGGCAGCGGGGTAGTCTAGTGGTTAGAGCGTTTGCTTGTCACACCGAAAACCCGGGTTTGATTCCCCACATGGGTACAAAGTGTGGAGCCCATTTCTGTTGGAACTGTTGAGAGAATAAAATCTGTTTAAATTGTTTTCCACATTGCAGGGTATAGTTGGGAATGTCACTGTGGGAGGCTTGGTGCTTCAACACTGGACAATGTTCCCTCTCAGCCTGGCCAATGCTTCAGTCCACCTTGGCAGCTCAGTATCCAGGTCAGTAGATCTATATCTAGATCCCTGCCCACCTTAGTAGCTCAACATCTAGATCCCTGCCCACCTCAGTAGCTCAACATCTAGATCCCTGCCCACCTCAATAGCTCAACATCTAGATCCCTGCCCACCTCAATAGCTCAACATCTAGATCCCTGCCCACCTCAATAGCTCAACATCTAGATCCCTGTCCACCCACCTCAGTAGCCCACCTCAACATCTAGATCCCTGCCCACCTCAGTAGCATCAATCCCTGCCCATCTAGATCAACCTGCCCACCTCAATAGCTCAACATCTAGATCCCTGCCCACCTCAGTAGCTCAACATCTAGATCCCTGCCCACCTCAGCTCAGCTCTAGATCCCTGCCCACCTCAGTAGCTCAACATCTAGATCCCTGCCCACCCAGTAGCTGAACATCTAGAGCTGCCCAACATCTAGATCCTGCCCACCTCAGTAGCTCAACATCTAGATCCCTGCCCACCTCAGTAGATCAACATCTAGATCCTGCCCACCTCAGTAGCTCAACATCTAGATCCCTGCCCACCTCAGTAGCTGAACATCTAGATCCCTGCCCACCTCAGTAGCTCAACATCTAGATCACTGCCCTGCTCAACATCTAGATCCCTGCCCACCTCAGTAGCTCAATATCTAGATCACTGCCCACCTCAGTAGCTCAACATCTAGATCACTGCCCACCTCAGTAGCTCAACACCCATCTGTGTAACTCAACACCCATCTCTGTAGGTCAACATCCATCTCTGTAGGTCAACATCCGTCTCTGTAGCTCAACATCCATCTCTGTAGCTCAACACCCATCTGTTTAGCTCAACATCCATCTGTGTAGCTCAACATCCATCTCCATAGCTTAACATCCATATGTGTAGCTCAACATCCATCTGTGTAGCTCAACACCCATCTGTGTAGCTCAACACCATCTGAGTAGCTCAACACCCATCTGTGTAGCTCAACACCATCTGAGTAGCTCAACACCCATCTGTTTAGCTCAACATCCATCTGTGTAGCTCAACATCCATCTCCATAGCTTAACATCCATCTGTGTAGCTCAACATCCATCTGTGTAGCTCAACATCCATCTGTGTAGCTCAACACCCATCTGTGTAGCTCAACATCCATCTGTGTAGCTCAACATCCATCTGTGTAGCTCAACACCCATCTGTGTAGCTCAACACCCATCTGTGTAGCTCAACACCCATCTGTGTAGCTCAACACCCATCTGTGTAGCTCAACACCCATCTGTGTAGCTCAACACCCATCTGTGTAGCTCAACACCCATCTGTGTAGCTCAACACCCATCTGTGCTGCTCAACACCCATCTGTGTAGCTCAACATCCATCTGTGTAGCTCAACACCCATCTGTGTAGCTCAACACCCATCTGTGCTGCTCAACACCCATCTGTGTAGCTCAACATCCATCTGTGTACCTCAACACCCATCTGTGCTGCTCAAGTCAGCAGGTTAACATACCTGGTTGGATTATCAGTTTGTAACAGACATGTTTGAAATGATTAGAACTGATGCCACATCCCCAGCTGTGGTCACCCTGTACACAGCTTGGAGAATTCAGGCTGGTCTCCAGCAACCTATGCTGGTCATATGCATGTGTAAGACAGACTCGGTGATTTGATTCCTGGCATGTCCCAGACAGTGTGGATCATTGTTTACAACACTATCTGTCTGGTCCAGGCTATATTGTTTACAGCTTAACATGTGGTATGGAATATGCCAGTACATGCCATCATGATCACAGATGTCATTATATAATTATAGACTGTTTATGAGGTCAATACCTGTTTTTATGTCTTTATTGACCGAGGTCAATATTGATTTTTGCGGGTCCATAAAAACAGGTATTGACTGAATTCACCAGTCCATAATTGTTTTATTATGTAATTACCACAAAAAAAGCTTCTAGAAACCAAAACATGTCCATTTATTCAAAAAAAGTAATTGTATTTTCGCTGCAAACCAATAACGTTCTGTCATAGCTTGACATCAAAATCTATTTTTAGCAACTCAAGTGAAAAATAATTTATCGTCGGACCTGGGTTGGAGTCAATATGCTGTTCTGTCGACGGTCAGGTGACCGCCTCTAGACCAATCAGGTGGCAGCCTCTAGACCAATCAGGTGGCTGCCTCTAGACCAATCAGGTGGCTGCCTCTAGACCAATCAGGTGGCTGCCTCTAGACCAATCAGGTGGCTGCCTCTAGACCAATCAGGTGGCCGGAAAAATATGCTTACATAATAATGTAGAATATTAACAAATGTAGTGGGGTTTGCAGAGACAAATCAAGTTTTTAATGGCTTTCATTACAGGCTGAAGGCCAGCAGCGACACCAGTGAGACACTTCTAACACCATCCTTGTACATAGGCTCGTTTGTGTTGCCTAGCACACTGTCTCAGCCACTCGACACCTATGTTGATATGAGACCCTGGCACAAGGTAGGCACACTCGACACCTATGTTCATATGAGACCCTGGCACAAGATAGACACACTTGACACCTATGTTGATATGAGACTGGCAGAAGGTAGGCACACTCGACACCTATATTGATATGAGGCCCTGGCACAAGGTAGGCACACTCGACACCTATGTTGATATGAGACCCTGGCAGAAGGTAGGCAGACTCGACACCTATGTTGATATGAGACCCTGGCAGAAGGTAGGCACACTAGACACATATGTTTATTCTCAGGCCCTGGCACAAGGTAGGTACACTCGACACCTATGTTGATATGAGACCCTGGCACAAGGTAGGCTTTCAACACCTATGTTGATATGAGACCCAGGCACAAGGTAGGCACACTCGACACCTATGTTCATATGAGACCCTGGCACAAGATAGATTCTTTACACGTATGTTGACATGAGACCCAGATGCTCCCCATACACTGAACACTTTGATATAGATGTACGGTGTTTAAGAAATACGTCTTTCTTTCAGGGACAGCTGTTCATCAACGGCAACAATGTGGGTGGCTACTGGCCATCCCTGGGGCCCCAGGTGACTCTGTATGTCCCCCTGTCATTCCTCAAGCCCCACCCTGCTTCCAACACAATTCTAGCCTTTGAGCTGGAGTCAGCACCCTGTCCACACACATGCACCATTCGGTTTGTTGATCAGCCATTCATCAACAAGACTGTGAATGTATTTGATTGATCTACCATTCATCAACAAGACTGTGAATGTATTTGATTGAGCTACCATTCATCAACAAGACTGTGAATGTATTTGATTGAGCTACCATTCATCAACAAGACTGTGAATGTATTTGATTGATCTACCATTCATCAACAAGACTGTGAATGTATTTGATTGAGCTACCATTCATCAACAAGACTGTGAATGTATTTGATTGATCTACCATTAATCAACAAGACTGTGTCAACAAGACTGTGAATGTATTTGATTGATCTGAAATGGGCTACCATTATCAACAAGACTGTGAATGTATTTGGATTGAACCCATTGATCTACCATTAATCAACAAGTCTACCATTAATCAACAAGACAGCAAGATTCTAGTACAACATGCACAGGATGTCCCCCAGCAAATCCTCTTTCATTCTGAGTGAGTGAGTGTAGTTTATGCCGCTTTTAGCAATATTCCAGCAATATCCCGGCGGGGGACACCAGAAATGGGCTTCCCACATTATACCCGTGTTTGGATTCGAACCCAGGTCTTCAGCGTGACAAGCAGACGCTTTAACCACTAGGCTATCCCCTGTGAGTAGTACGTTGCTCACAATACCTGTAACTGGGTATTCTGCTTCAGGCTCGGTCATGTACAATCTGCTGCCTCACAGCTGGAGTGAGTGAGTGAGTATGGATTTACACTGGTGACACCAGAAATGGGCTTCACACACTGTACCCATGTGGGGAATCAACCCGGGTCTTCCACGTGATGAGCGACAGCTACAACCACTAGGCTACCCCAATGGGCTTCACACATTGTACCCATGTGGGGAGTAGAACCCGGGTCTTCTGCATGACGAGCGAACACTTCAACCACTAGGCTACCCCATCGCCCCCAAACGGCTGGAATATAGATAACTGAAGGTTATACAACAACCAAACAAATAACCAAACAAAAGTCCATAATGATTGCATTCTTTATTGATATTACAAAATCTACATAGAAGTGTACAAAGGACACACTCAGCAAGATGAGAAGCGTGCGTTATCTGACGATAATGACACAAGTTGAAACATAAGGACGACTTTACTGTGATATCTTTGTGCTGCGAGTTGGACTTCGACTTTACCATTGAACAACCATAATTTAGCCACTGATTTCAGTGTTTGAAATGTAGAAAATATATACTTAACATATACATATGCAGCAAAATATACTTTTCTCCATCATAAAGGATATATGCATATATACATGTGTGTATGTCCCCTGAGACGGAAGCAAGTCAAAGACAATTACAGCTACACAGACAGTGACACGAGACTTACAGAGGTACTGTCAAACTTCTTTAATCCACACTAAACGTTATTGATGGTCTGGATAAACAAACATCTGGATTAACAAATCTGAGATATGTGGTAACGCCCACATTTCAGATAAATGGCCAAGATAATCAAACCTCTAAACAAATCTCGGGTATTTAGTTAAAGCATTTTTTTAAATCTTTACAACAGGAATCGTCCAGGCCTTAACATTGGTCTAAAATCTAACCACTAACTGAATTATCCCCCTTCAAATATATTGCAAGTGATTCCGGGCCATTTGATTGGCTATCCAAGCAAACTGTTTATGCATCCATGTCTCCATAAACAAATGGCCCCACACATGTATAAGGTACTAATGCTTCCTAATCGACTGACAACTGAGTGTGAGGGGTGTGTTGCTTTATGGACTTCCTTGTCGGGATCCCAAATAATTATTTTTGTATATTTTCATGTGGAAAGAATCATCAATAACAGGAACTATGACATGCACTGATTACGGAATAAATACAAAATAATATGTATACTAACATATACAAACAATTATCATAAAGAGTTGAGAAAAATGAAAATAGAACATGCAGCATAGCTTACATGTAAAAAAAGTTACAAAATTAATCCGTCATATTCAGTGTTTGCAACACCATCTGATCACTATCGCTACGTCAAAAATTTCATACATGCAATTAATATATATTGGTAAAGTCAAAACCAATTAACATAGAAATCTGTGTCAATATCAACAAACACCAAGTAGATGTATTGCACATCACACAATACCATTGCCCACTAGAAGCACCACGGCGTGCACAGATTGCAAGAAATTTCGATTATATCATTCAAACCTACCACTGAGGTAGCAAACAGACATGTACACACGTTGCTAAATATCTTCGTTCCTTTGCTGACAACCCTACTCCGCGCCACGGCCTACACATAACTTAACAACATATTTACACTGGAGAATGAAAGCACCAGAAACAGCTTCAAGGTACCCCCTCAAAGGACACTTTCAAGTGAAACAATACAGCAGGAGAAAAATAAACTATTTTACACAAAAATATGGTGTACATTTTGTATATTCATCAAGCTTAGTCAAAACATTCCCGTGTTAAGAAAAGATAAACAAAGTATTCATATGAAAGCATTTGTTACATATCGATAAGTTCATTCTAATTATTTTGTCCAAAGTTCTCACAGACAGTGAAACAGTGTACAGAATACATAGTTACAAAATGTGTTTGAACTTATTAATTTGTTGTCATGGTGATTGAATCAGAAACCAATATCTGACCTCTGGCTACTTCTTCAAATTGGAGATCCATTCAAGAGGCGTTCTAGAATACTGTCTGACTGAGACTATCTACCAATCTTATCCATTGGTGGCAATAGTAACACATATTCTTTCTTAGTTTTCAACAAGGAATACATCATCACATAAGTCTGAATACATCTGGTCAAACTCTATTAAATTAAAGAAAAGTCTATTCTGTTGTAACAACTATTGATCTCTAAGTAAATGTCAATGAAAATATTTGATTTGGTCGAAGGGATTACTATAGAAAGATACTGCTACATCATACACAGATAGAAATGAATATGAAATGTCCACACAAGGAGCAGATAAATCAGGGTAAAGTGACGCCTCTAAATGTTATCGTGCAATCATCAATATTAACTGAAGATGTTAAACACATGTCCAACCCATTACATTCATGCAATTTTTATACACCCAATGCACTGATGATTTACAAAAACCCACCTGAAACGGTACCAGTCCAGAATGGTCTTCTACAGTACACGCTACACAAATAGAAATGACATATTTGTTCACACTTACGGCTGGGATGAGTCCTAATTTACTACCATGGTACCTCACAACTTTGGTACTCATTGTAGATCTGAACTCTAAACTGTTTAACTAGAACAACAACAAAAGCTACTTCAACATAAATATATAACAATGTGGTCATACATACACTGAAGATGTATCTTGAAAGTGACATAATAAAGTGAATGGTAAGAAAGAAATGCAGACATAAGTGAGTTGTTGTGTAACCATGGAATAATATTGTTGTTGTCATTGTACAATACATCTCAGACTAACAATGGGTCAGGGTGGGGACTAGTACCAAAGTTACCCATCCCTAGCCTAGTTCAGATCACGACATACTCCTTCATACAGAACACCCAAAATGTTACTGAAAATGGCTACTGTGCTAACATGTTGAAGCCAGAATTTCAGTGTGGTAGACAAGGAGAGAGGTGGAACACCAGACATTGACACAACGGCCTGTTCATTAATATAATCCTATGCAGCAACTTTTTATGCAATGCTATGCTGGAATATTCCAGATCTACGCCAACCGGCCATAATTATACCATTTAGTATCATGATTAAGCTTATGACAATGCATGCCATTGGGGTACAATTAGCAAAGGACACAGGCTGGAGTACCTGAGGATGATTTAAGAGAGACTGGTCAAGTGTTTTGAGAGAGATTAAGTTGGAATTAACAGTGCTTTGAACAGTGTTTCTGTTACTTCTTTTGTCAGCTTTATTTGTGAGAAAGCCCTTGTTGGTACAGACTCCATTTACCATTCAGATGAACTCACAACCACAGACATGATTCTATGAAACATCATAATCAAGGCAACATATCCTGATACCACTAAGGGAGGCAACTCTCTGCAGCCAATATCAATCCTTGATATCACTGAGCTCCCCAAATATTTTACATCTCATCACTAGCATGCATCTACTGACAGTAGCTCAAATTCTCAACACAAATGAAACTGTACAAAAAAGCAGTTGTATAAGCTTGTTTTATGATGAACACTATTTTGCAAAGTGGTGATAAACATGTTAGTTCTGATGTTGTACCTACACTAAAGCACATAGCTAGAGCACATGGCAAACACAAACTGGACAATCGATGGGAGTGGTCTCCTTTAGATAGACATGTCTGTTCACATCAAGAAACCTTGTTCCATCAGTTTTCCCCATGTCTATACATCCAATTTTCTCAAACACACACTGAAACAGATGAATCACACAGACTCACGATACTTTACTATGTAATGACCTACAAACCAGAAATCAGTCGACATTTCATAGCTTTCCTTTTAACAATTTCAATTTATATAAACTGTTTCAGAGACGTAGTATCAGTATTCACAATGAATAGCATCCCTTGCAGACTGATTCTGTAGTATTTTAATCTAAAGATCACAAAATCTTAAGCTGTCACAGGTTTTATAATCTGACCTTTAACAAGGAAAGATTAAATTGAATAAGATTGGTCTGTGTCTGAAAATATAATACAAGATTGAAAACATATCAACAGATAAAATCATCTTAAAATTTCATTTAGGCGGTAGGTGATGACTTTTGTCAAGTCCTGGCCTGGTTTGGGTTCTGATGTTATAAATCCGACATCCGACAAGTCAGTGTTATAGATTGGCCTGACAGTGGATTGGTTTAACATATAAAGTTGATTCACGAAAAGAAAATATTCCAATTATATAAAATTCCCAAAGTGATCTTCACCCTTGGCGTTGTTAAAAAACATGAAAATAGTTTTCTTCTTAAAGTTTCATTTTGAATGAACCTTAAAACAACCCTCACTAAGTTAAGACCAAAGTTTACAATTAAAATGTACATACACATGTAGGTCATACATCATACAACACTTATATGCCATGCATCAAATGAAGAAGCCACTTCATACCCTCCAGTAAGGTTGAACCTCACAACTAAATGTAAAACCACACATATACACATACAATACATGCTATCATGATACACATACGCA